GCCGAGACACCGCCGGCGCCGTATTTGGATCGTCTGAAATAGTAATTCGCGACAACGCGCTCTTCTCCCGATAGGTAGGTCGTCTAGTTTTACGAGGGGACGAGCTTGATTTCCTCGGGAACGTTGTCGCGGAAGGATGTGACACTTTATCGTCGATTGTTTCAGAAGGCGTCAGTAACGTCTTCTTCTAGTTTCCGGTCAGGAATCCGACGCGCATAGCATCGTTATCTCGAGATAAGGATTAATTAGCGTTTTCAACAGGAGCGCTTAATTAACGACGTCGTGAGCTTTGTCCTCCAGCCAATCATAGAGCTTGCAACGTCATTAAGCGTTATCGGAACGATGTAAATTCAATTTTATAGTCGAAAATGCAGGAATGCATATTATTGAGAGAGTTTTCATCTCGAATTAATCGAGGAATTGGTTTTTTTTTTTTTTTTGGAATGTCCTTGGATAGGGAACACTCGGTACGATGCGCTCCACTTGCGCTTTTACGTCGTTTCTTCAAATCGCGCCGGGAATGATAATGAAGCTGCTGCGGCTGATAATGGAAACGAGGGAGAGATAATCTCAAACGCGCGTTGAATCGTTTCTTATGTTCTACAGCACGAAACGATCTTCCGCGAGGAGAAAGTGTTTCGGCACAATTCCTTCGACGGTGATGGCATTGCGTGACGTAATTACACTATTAATCGTAACGTTATTGCCGCGTAAACGATACGAAAGCGTTCGTTTAGATTGCGCGCGATTTCTTTTTAGTTCGAGAATATTTGCAAAGAGAAAATCAATTACACCGCGAACACTTGAACGTTCGCTAGATTAAGAATAATTTTCTCAAAATTCTGATTAAACTAATCGACAATTAACTCAATCGGCAGAGTCGCCAATGTGGAAAATGAAAAACAATTTGTTGTTAAAACGAGCAAGAAATTCGCTCGTTCGTTCTTTATAATTTCCTTTTGTAAACGTGTTCAAAATTATTGTCGAGTATTAACACACAGAGAAAAGGATTTCTTTGAATTTAACAAAATTTCTTTAATTGAAACTTGATTAATTGAAATTCTATTAAATAACCCCAAGTTACACAAACGCGTATACTAAATTCAAAGAAACTTTTTTTCCTCTGCAGAATGGTTAATATTTTGGGTATTATCAGGTACGATAAATTACACAGTTAAGATGATTAGGTTAGCTAGATTAGATTGGGCTGGGTTAATTAGAGTTTGGAGAAGGGCATTCATCAGAGAGTCGCTGGAGATTTCGAGTCGTAGTCATCGCGTCATAAATTCCTGGTCGTTCTTTAATTCGAGGACACACGAGAGCATTCGAGATTTTCGATCTTATGCGTGTAAGACTGAAAATCATACATTCGGCGTCACGCTTGCCTGGCCGTTACAATTGTGTTTACTTGTGTTCTCAACATTATAGATATAAGCACGAGGTCAAAAATTGTACATTCGCGATCTAGGAACGATTATGTGACTATGACGACTCTACACGTTCGTACGTCAGTACAGTTGCCGATGATTATTTGAGGAAAACTGCAACGATATTTCTTATATCATATAAAAGTGACGCTATTTATGCGAAACATAAATTTTCATACGAGGAAAATAACACGTACGGCAAGGTGAGTTCTCACGCGCTCGAACGAAAGTGTCGCGCGGTTTGCACCCGGCGACGCGGTGGTTATCGAGTTACGTGGCTTTCACTGAGCGCGTTACATTTGGGCAACGACTTTCTTGGGCTCGCATCGGACACTTCCTAAAGTCCCTGAGTGGTGTCGTTGTTTCGTTAGCGTTCTGACGCAATGACGGATAACAGACCTGCGCGCGCGATGGCTAATGGACTGTGCATACAGTACAAAAACCGAGCCGGTGCACACAGGCACACACGTACGCGCTTTCAACCGTAGTCCGTTCTCTTCAGGTTCGTATACTCGCTCAAACCCTTCGTCCGGTAAAGTAAATTTCAGCTTCGCGTACGGAGAAACGGCCTCCTCTCCGAGACAAGACCGAGAACGGGTGAGATTAAATTCGTAGATTCCTCTCTTCCGACGCGATGCTGGTGTTTGACCTACTTTTCTCGGAAACTCGATAGAATCGATCTTGAAAAAAAAAAAACGAAAGGGAGATTGTAGTAGCATTTTCATCATTTTGAGAGACCAGTTCGTTAAGGATTCAAACGCCTGGTTCACACATGGATTTGACCGTTGTTTCGGATATTTCGATCCGCCGGGGAAATTCAAACGACCATCGACGGAACAAGTCGGACGATAGTGGTGGGGATTGTCTACGGAATTTTCGTAAATAATCTTCACAGGTATCATTCCGGGGAAAGCAGGCCTGTCTTGAGCTATATTAATACCCGGCATTCGGAATTCTTCGTTTGCCTTCTTCCCATTTGCTTCGTATGCACGCCCCTACCTGTCTCATTGTAAAGACGGAAACTTGCAACAAAAGTTCGCAAGCTGAAAAGGACCTAGCATTACCTTTCCACACGGGACCTTCGCGCCAGCACGTGCGCTCGTCCTTTTGAGTTGCGAACGTTGGTGAGTTAAGATCGGTTGTTTCGAGCACTCGAGAAGCGAACTGCGAAGTGTGAGTAACGCGACGACTTTATAAACCACCGTTGCATTCAATCGTATCCCCACTTTCTCCATCAACTGTATCTTTCTCATCTCGCTTGTGCCACGATCACGTAGTGACGTTCGCGTTATTGACTCGACGTATTTTTTTTTACCGCCTCTCTATTGATACATCGCGTGTCTTTCTTCCATCTGTCTGCTTCTGTATCGTCGCTGCGATCGTAGATATCTTTCTCTCTCTCCGTGTGCCATAACCAGCGTGACAAATCTGCTACGACGTGTAAAAACAACGTTGCCGGATGTCTAACGATAAATTCCGCCCTACCAGCGAGAGTGGATTATTTGTTTCGTATCTGGCGCGCGTGATACCATCTCTTATTTCACTGATATCACGCGTCTCGTAAAAGTGGCGCGCGGCCGTATCCTACCGGACGATGTGTATCAACAATTTACCGCGCAAAACCGTTTCGGCCTCGTGTATTTTCGAATGTTTCTCATTTTATTACCTGCATACACGCGCGCACGTGCAGCATGCGTACGTGCGTGCGTGCACGCAGAACCAGGAAGTGCGCGGGTGACACACGTGGTGTGGTCCAAGTCGGTTTCTTGAAAAGGTCGTTTTTGCGAACTCGCAGGTACCTCTGCTTGGAAACAAGGCCGCTAACACTGCGTCCGCTCAATGTGACGAAGTCTGAAAAAAGTCAAACCGTAGTAACACGTGACGCTAATAGAGCGGATAAATTTCGTCAGAATCGCGAGCCTGCGAACACAACAATTGAGTGATAAGCTTTTGGAAGATCAGGGTATCTACTGCCCGGAAGAACCTCAGGTGATTTTATTGAAAATCGGGACATTTTCAATGGATATTTTATATATTTCCGAATTGTCGATTATTTAACTTTGAAAATACAGTAATGTCAAATTCGCAATTTATAATAATACTCGAAATACACGTACATACATATGCATATATTTAAATATATCATTTATATACCTCTGTTTCTATTATCTCTGCATTTCTATTGGATCAACTGATGCACAAACATAGCATTGATAAGAAGAATAAAAAATAATATTTTCTTATTTGTAATATCGTACATATACGTTTACTTTAACTTTGCTTCAAATTAACATTTACAGCTCAGATAGCGAAATAAAAATATAGAAACGTAATTTTGCTTGATAAATATTAAATTTATGAATGGCTCTTTTGATGCGCCACTGAAAATACGACATTGAACTTTTGCAAACCTTTTAAAATGCCATTTTAATACGAAGTAATGTAATAAAATCCTATATCTGCTTAACCACGTGGAAGAAACGGAACGAGCCACCTGGGTGAAGCGTAACTGACCTGTGCGGGATGTCACGTAGGGCGGAGGTAATGGCGGGGTGAGAAACAAAAGAGAAAGGAGAGGGGTTCGTAAAAAATATCTACGTCTCGGAGGACGCACGTTGGGTATTCGATACGCGTGCAGAACAGGGTTCCGGAACGCGGAATGCAGAAAAGGGATTTGGCGGAATTTTGCGTCGCAACGATTTGGCGCGTGACATCATTTGAGAACGACTTGTGTTATAGCACCGTAATCGCGCCGACGTATCTCGCTTGCTCGCAACGAGGCTGCGACGAGGTGCGTGTGTCGTCGGGATGCACACAAAAAGCGGTGTCAGTCGTTTTCTCGCATTATCACGTCACGCATAACTTGAACGGCGCGATGGAAATGCGCTACTACCCACCACTGCTATTGCCACCACCGTCACCGCGCGTCATTCGGACGGAGAGAATTAAAGATTATTTCGTCCGCGGTATAGAGTCAGAGAGGCTTCTGTACACGGCGCTTTTGTGCGGACATTAGCGTCGAAGTGAACGCTCGAGCGACGATTGTCTAAATGCGAAGTAAAAGCGTCTCTCCCTCGCAGCTACCGTGATACCTGAAATTACGAAAACCGAATATTAATTCACGTTATATTATGCGTACTGCATTATTGTGCTTTAATTAACGGCAAAAACCTCGTGGACACTGTTTGATTCATTGGCGAGTAATTCGTTGAAACTCGATGCGACGGTCAATATTTAAGCGAGACACGTGTAAACACAGCGGCGTATTTATTTAAGCGATTGTCGGAGGATCTTTGTAATATGGGCATTCTGTTTTCAAAATTTATGGAATCCGAGCTCGGTGATGATATTATCCTATGATCTCGTGTCATACAATTTCCCCGGATACTTCGAATGTTATTATCGATCGATAACGTATCGATAACTTTATCTATTACATTGCGCAATTTTTATATATACGGAGTGTCCCGAGAATATAAAAGGATTGCAAGGGAAGCTTCGAGGTTCTTTGAGCTTGAGGTTTGTAATGCGGGAGAGGTGTTCTGATCGCTTGTTTCCTTCTTTCTTTTGCAGATTCGGCACTTTAGGCAACAAGAGGGCTCCAATAGTCATGCCGTACAACAGGGGGAAGTGTCTTCGTCGAATCCGAACATATTGTCCAACGATCAAGTTGGCTCTATTTTACTCGAGGTTTCTATTACTTCTATTTTTTTTAATCTTTCATACAGAAAACAGTGCTAGATTCGAGTGAATAATTACCCCAATATTCGTTAGCAAATGTTCACTTGGTTTAAGTAAAGTATTTCACTTGAATCGAATAAATACTTTATTTGAATAATTTATTTCGAAAATATTATACTTGGATCAAGTAAATATTGCTTGATTTGCTAAGGAGTATCAGAATAATTATGTATTTGAATCAAGCACTTTTTTTAGATATAAAAGAATATATGATATAAAAGAATATCTGAATAAAAAAGTCACGGACGCATTTAATGCATTTAACGGAATCTATCAATGCGTAATGATATTGTTCGTTTTTTACAGGCGTTAGACGGCTTTCTATTCGTTGTAAATACCGAGGGTCGCGTGGAGTACGTTACGGATAACATAACGCAGTACATAAATTACACGAAGGACGATGTCCTCGGAAAGGATATTTACAACATTATTCATCATGGAGATCACAACACCTTCATGCCCAGCTTGTTACCTGTGTCTTTAAGTAGGTATCTTATCTGCATCATACGCTCTTTTTTCCACGAGGGGTAGCCGACCCTCGATACTTACGGGGTAGATTCGAGATAGATGCGATCAGTAGGTCACGGGTAATCCAATTTACAAAAGACCCTCCTCTTCAGGGTTCGTGGTTCATTTTTCAATTTCTTATTCGTGCTTTGGGACGGGGTGAGTGGCCTCCATAAATTCAAGAGATAGCACACGTGCCTTGACAAATTTTAGTACTTCCTTCTTTTTTATTATAGATATCGTAGCATATGTACTTTATTTGCATCACTCTTTATTAGTTATATCACGCAATTGTGTGTTTCAGGCTTTTATTAATCCACTTTTACCTTTAGATTGTACATCTATAAGCCTTTAATTTTAATTAATGTATTTATTTCTTAAATTTTTTATGGATTTTTGAAACATTATTTCTAGTACGAATTTATTCGAAAGTTACAACATAGCTTGCGCATATTGCACCGCGCGCGATTATTTGCCAATCTCCTTTATTTAATAATTCAAAATTTTACATATTTTTGTAAAATAATAAAAGACTTTTTTTGTACTCTGTTTGACTTAATTGAACTAAAAATTGACTAGTAGACAGTAACTTTATTTATATTCTAGAGGATAAAATCAGAATCTTTTGGTTTCGAATATTATATATTTTTATAATTGGGCCAACTGTATAATTTTTGAGACTTTAAGAGATGTATTCGGTTAATCATTTGACGAGTCCGCTATTGTGCAGGCTGGACGAACGAGTTGCAGCCTCAGACCAGGAATCGTACTTTCATTTGCCGCTTCTTGGTGAAGCCTCCGGATGATAAGGACGAGACTATGGAAGAGAAGCAACAGCGAGTATCGAAATACGAGTCTATGCAAATTTGTTCCGCTGTTCTGCCGAGTAACGCCGATCGTCTGGAGAGCGGTGATGTGTCCTCCGAGTCGTCAGACATTGGTCTTTGCGTGATGTGCGTGGCGCGTAGAATATCGCCAAACGAGAAGCCGATTGGTACTCCCATTGAACAGTTCACCTTCAAATTGGATACCACGTGGAAGATTATCACGGTCGACATCAGTTGGTTGTCCCCCGTCTACTCCAAGTACCTAAGCAAGGTAGGAAGAACGCATATAGTTCTTGAAAAAAATAATGGACTGCTCTTTATAACCGAAAATTAAATATAGAAGAAAAGGTGGTATTGTAGCCTCCCATTTTCTACTTTTTATATAACTTTGTCAATAACCAATATATTTTTAATTAAAAATCCAACGATTACACTGATCAAAGTGTTGTCCGATCGATTCTAGACTCAAAGTTTTGAAATATTTATTACTTGGGATGTTATTTATAAATATGTGATGACGCTGCATAATGGGTTGAACAGAGACAGAGGTGGTAATTTGGCTTCCTACTAAAATAGATTACAAAAACTGGTTTTGTTAAAAAAAAATACAGTGTTTTGTTACAAAATTATATATTTATTCAAAATAAGCTCTTAGAAAGAATAATAACACCGGCACACAAAAAAAAAGTGGTCTGTACTTTTGACCAAACCCACCTATCTATATGTATTTTGGCCCGCTGAAACCGAATCTGGAGGTCGTTTAGCCCGTCTACCTCTTGGTTTTGAGTAAATCGCAAAAAATAGCGAAAAATCGCATTAATAAGTGCGACAAAATTAGGAAAAAATTTTGTTGACTTTCAACAAGTAAATTTCTTCATGAAGCAACTGAGTCTAAAAGTGCACTTCCTACACTCGCATCTTGACTACTTTCCTCAAAATCTCGGAGACTACAGCGAAAAACAAGGAAAACGATTCCATCAAGACATGAGCGTAAAGCAATTTGGGAAAAAAGTTTCTGACCTTAATGAGATATATTTATTATGTATTTTGAAGCCCTGAATCCGTTTTTCAACTTTGTTGAGCTCTGTTACCCACAGGTTTTAGCGAAAATCGCAAAAAACCGCGTTAACGAGCGTAAAAATCGTTGTTTTCTTATGCTTTTTTTCTCTTGTAACGAACTCTTATCTTCGAATGATCTATGTAGCGGGTTTCTTTTCCTCTTCACTCCGGTCTGAATCGTTTCCCTTTTTAACGTCCAACAGAAATCTGCCATCATATTAACACTATGCCGTCCGGTGGCATCACGTTGGTGTCATGCGAAAACTATCGGGCAAATGCCGGTGGCACCACGTTGGTGTCATGCGCAAAACTATCGGGCAAATGCCGGTGGCACCACGTTGGTATCATGCGATTTATGATCTTCCGAGGACCTCGAAAAACCGCCGGCGACAAGCGAAATGATCTGAGTCAGTCCTACCGGCGCCAAACAAAAGAATCCCGATTAGACGTGCGGACGGCATAGTGTTAATATCCCACCTTCCTTGGTACCGCTGCTCCATTTCACTTATGTCTTGATGGAATCGTTCTCCTTGTTTTTCGCTGTAGTCTCCGAGATTTTGAGGAAAGTAGTCAAGATGCGAGTGTAGGAAGTGCACTTTTAGACTCAGGTTGCTTCATGAAGAAATTTACTTGTTGAAAGTCAACAAAATTTTTTCCTAATTTTGTCGCACTTATTAATGCGATTTTTCGCTATTTTTTGCGATTTACTCAAAACCAAAAGGTAGACGGGCTAAGCGACCTCCAGATTCGGTTTCAGCGGGCCAAAATACATATAGATAGGTGGGTTTGGTCAAAAGTACAGACCATTTTTTTTGCGTGTGCCGGTGTAATGAATATAATCGTGAATTTTTAATGTAGATATTAACTTTTACTTGTCAGGAGATATAAACTTTCAGCAGCATTTAGTATCACTGCGTAACGAAGAGCTACTAAACAAATTATTCCATAAGTGATCATAAGAATTCGCCACCTAATAGCGAAGATATTAAGAGGGATCATATCTACAAGGGCCACCTTCTTCTCTATTTAATTTTATTCAAGTTTCTATACATACATATTTTTCCTTGTTAACGCGTAACACGAGATCAGTCGTTGAAAGGGCAACCCACTCACGAGCACATTCTGTTTAAGGACCTGATAGGCACGTCGATCAAGGACTTGTGCCACCCTCATGATCTCAATACGCTCACGAAGCATTTGAGCGATACGTTCAAAGTCGGGGAAAGTACGAGCGATGTGTACCGACTGCGCGTTAGTTCTGATAAGTTCCTTAAGATTCAAACAAAGTCAAAATTTTTCAAAGGGAAAGTGATGAATGCGCACGATAGCGACTACGTGATGGCTATTAACTCCATCATCGGGTATGTTTGCATGCTCTTTTTGCTCGTTAGATATTAATTTTGACCGAACGACGATGAAGCGGAGAATACACGTGTGACGTTTTGTTTCCATCTAACAGGGATAACCTGATGCCTATCGAGGGTGGCCAGCTTTCCAACAACAAATTGTGCTCGGGACACTCTAGCAGCCGTTGTGCGAATAATAGTAATAACAATAACGGTAACAATAACAATAACGTGGGTGGTCCATTGATGTCCGTCGCGCATCTGAACGGTCAAGTGAGTGGTATCAGTGCTCGCAGTATGACGGCGGCAGCGGCTGCCTCGCACGTCGCCACGTCTTCGAACTCGATCACCTTCAGCGCGGGGGGTGCCACCGGCGGCGGTAACGGTAGTGACTCTTGCAACCCCCTGACCTCGCTAAGCGCGTCCGCCGGCAATACGTTTAATTTCACGGGGAATGTGGACCTGGAATTCGAGTTTTTCCGCAATCCTACATGGGACTTGGACAGCAGTGCCGGGTGGACGGACAGACCGGAATCGAGAGCGAGCGGGCCGCCGAACTCTCGGCCACCTTCTCAGCCAGCCCCAACGGCTTCGCCGAGTCCGCAGGGAACGACCTTCTCCAGTTCGGCGGTAGCTCCTCACTGTAGCCCTCTACGCCCGTTCAGTCCAACTACAGTCAGTGCCGCTCATACTTTCAGCAATTCCTTTGCCTTCAGCCCCCTACAAGAATCTACGCAGACAGCCACTTTGAGCAACACCGCGATTGGTGGTGTCGACAGCAACAACGGTGGTGGTAGCGCCACTTCTACGACGACTGTTAAGCGAGCCGAGGAGACGACCAATAAAAGTGGTTGTTCTGCCAATAGTAATAGTGGAGGTAGTAGCGGGAACAGTGGTATGATGGACAGCGCTGCCACAGTGAGGACCAGCAACAGCAGCAGCGGTAGCAGTGTCGCCGTTACCGCCGTCGAGGCTCAGAACAACAGTGTTGTGTCCACCGAGTCCGGTAGACTCAGAAATTTGTTGACCAAGGGCCCGAGTGCTAGTGAGGACAGTCAGGACAATACGAACAGCGACTCGGATAACCCGAATAGGCACAGGATACTGAAGATTTTATTGAACCAGCAAGACGAGGACGATTATAACTCGGAACACAAAGTGCGCACGAGTCCCAGCAATATGACGAAGCCCAGCGGCATGGAACACTCCAAGTCGTCGCTCGGAAACCATATGCTCTTGCAGGTAACCCATATTATCGCCGCTTTACCTAAAGATTCCTCACGACGTTTTCACTGCGTTTTGGCCATTACCAGAGAGACCTGTCTGTCTATAGTGAATGGCTTCTAGGAACTTTTGGAAGGCTCGTGGTCCATACACTATTTTCTTTCAGAGAATCTCTTTTAGGAGATCAGTTGATTACGTGACAACCCTATTGGTAGCTGCCGTTTGTAAAGTTAGTTAGCGATCGCTGGTGTTGGTTTTCTTCGAGATCTGAAAGATAGGCTTGAAAAATGACGTGCTGATGTCGTTTTTTAGAATATCAATTCTAGCGATCACTAGCCATGTAAATTTATCTGTAAAAATGATAATAGTACGCGTTATAGTGTGCTCATACAAGCAAGAGTCATGCCGGCCAGTCACAGAGCTGTGTCTATGTGTACAGACACAGAGGGCCACAGGGCCCTCTCGTCGTCTCTCTTTCTCTCTCTCTCTCTCTCTTTGTCTCTCTTAAACACGTCATTAAGAAAACCGTTGCGGCAAAGGATAAAGAGCCCTGCTCGCTCGCTTGATTGTAGCAAAGGCCTTCATACATGGATTGCCGTAAGCAGTAAGACTCGAGCAGTAAGGACGTTGACGAACCAATTAGTATATTTGTTTAGGTTTACGTATTCTAAAAGATGATAGACGTGACGATAAGTTGAAAACTTATCAAACAGTTCTCGAACAGAGAACTAAAGATCCTAGTTACTCCTGCTTATAGCTAAACTTATCGTCACTTTTATCGTTTTTTGGAATACGTAAGAAATGTATTGATAAAGCAGAGATAAAACCTTTTAAAACAAAGCACGTTCTTTTTTACCTGCATCTCCACTTCTCAAATAAAGGCGAGCGTTCTAGACATATTACGACCCGTATTCTGAACGCATTTACGATGTTAACGCTAACAAGATAACAGATGTGAGCATTTTCAGTATCACTTGTATTCTAAACGCGGTATGATATCAGCATTCTGTTAGGAAAAATCGGTAATCACATGTCACAGCAAAATTCAAAACTACTAAGTTGATTTGTTAACGCTCTAACATCGTTGTAAACGCGTTCAAAATACATGCCTATGTCTATGCCAGAGAATGATGTTTCCGAACATCCGGTAGCGTGAACACTGTTTTTTCAAACGCAGCCTTACTTTTAAGACTTTCTAGCCGTTACTACGAACGAGCGAGCGAGCTCTTTGTCCCTTGTCACGGTGGCAATCTTGATGATGTAGAAACAAGAAAATACTCAACATTTTTATGAAATACGTTGTTAATAATAAGTAAAATAAAAGGATAAGTCCAGAGAATGACGTTTGTGAGCGATTAAGCACATTCGTAAAATATTCCGAAAACTTCCCCTTACTATAGTAGTCAATAACTGTAAAATTGTCTCTTGGTGTGTTATGAACAGCTTGCGTGAACAGTACTGAACAGTACCTAGTGGCATTCAACACTCTCAGTGCGCAAAGAGCACCCTCACTTAAGCATCCTTGGTAACATTGTGTAACGCACGTGCTGCATTATGTGACCATTACACTATTACTAATAACACAAAGTGGTTGTTTTCTTTTCAAGTGACTGGCAGCCTAAAATTGGAGGAAAATAACTACAAAAATTTTGGTAGAATATAATTAACTTATCAAATTAGAATATTTCTATTAGTCTTTTTTTCATTATAAAATATTTGATACACTTATAGACGTATTGTTATGCAAACGCTTTTAGGGTCACGATACACAGAAAAGCAGCAAGACTTAAACAATAAATGGCAATATACTTCAGGCTAATTCATACATAGTGAAGACTCGTCAAATGTCCATAAGCGTGGTTCGCACTCTAAAGATTTATTATCTCTTTGTTTCAAGTTATTGAACGAAAAAAATGACGACGAGGACGAAGAGAGTCGCGCCGGGGCAAAGAAAAGAAATGATATTTTGCAACATCTATTGCCAGATGAAGAAAGGAAATTACCGGAACAACAGGTACAGTTTAATTTAATAGTTAATTTTAATTAGTAGTACAGTAGTTTAATTTAATAATTATACATACTTTTATACATAAGGGTGTAAGAGTGAATAATTCTGTTCTTAGGGACAAATTCACATTTCTCATTCATTCATTGGTTCATTTGTGGTTTATTCGTTCATTTATGGTTTATCTGATTTTGGAATGTCGTACAAAATTTTCTTCATTTCTTACCTGGGACTAGAAAAACCTTTTCGTTTGGGAGCTAATAAAGAATAGATTCTTCTTTAATCATCTATTTTATATTTTCCCCATCTTGTCAATTGTAAAAATGTGTCATTGCAACGTGGTCAATCGATATAGTTTATTAAAATAAGTGCCACTGAAATAACAGTTCGAAAATAGAGACCGAAGAATTTCCATCTTTTGTAATCATTCTTCCTAGGTATCCATTAGATTGGTCAATAGGGTTATTGTGATAATGGAGAAGTACTTTTATATTTATATTATACTTTTATATCAAAATTCTTGTTTAAACATTTTGGTTTCGACTGAATTAAAAACGATTGCAATGAAATGTTAGAATGTCGAAAATACCTAATGCAAAATTGAAAAAGAAATTAAGAAACACAATGCGTGCTATTGCAACAGACTTTCGTAAGCATCTTCATGATCGAACGAATTTTGTTTTACATTAATAAAGCAAAATCGGGAGGACTCTCGCGGGAGAGAGGATACCTTGTTACTGAGTCTTGGGTTCCGGACTACGACACCATCTCCGTCACAGTCGGGCGAACACCTTGGTCTCGGCAGCACGACTCAAGTCGGCCAGAAGAGACCAGGGGGAGAGGATGGTGATATGAGCTTAGCTCTGAAACGGCCGATGGATGGTTCGCATCAAGTAACTTCTTCTGGTACGAACTCTTCGATCAACACGAACAGCAAACTGTGGGAGAAAAATAAGATGTTGGCATCTTTGCTGGCGATAAAGCCGCCGGAGCCAACCAACGTCCCACCGATTCCCGCATCTGTGATATCGGCAACGCCACAGGTACAGTCAGCGTTATGTATACGATGCTGTTCTTGAGACGAGAGTTATATGATTTTCAGTCTTACACATATATATGCAGAAGATCGAAATTGCACAGGTAAGTCGTCTAGTTATAATGATTTTCACCTTGTGTATACATATATAAGGCTGAAAATTATGAAGTTCTCAATTTAGAGAATGATACAGCATACATAAGGATGACTATTCCTTCATTTACTGCTGATAAAGGCAGCGTCATTCGGTCTTTCGTCGACCGACTGTCGAATCAAGACGAAATAATGTTGCCTTTGTCAATAGTAAATGAAGAATCACTACCAGAATAGACTCCTCACAATTAGAAGTCACAGTTGCATAAGTATCCAATTTTTAGAAGCATCCTTTCGGACTATATCTTTATTATCAACACTGCTGAAACTACTTGTAAATCCTAACGTGCTTATTAATGTTCATTAAGCATATATCCTTATTTTCAATTAACTTTCAAGTATCAAATTGAGTCTATTTTACAGATAGCGCAAAATTTATTTATTTGTTTATTATTTTGGTAATTATGTAGACGACTTCCACACACTCAAATTCATTTCTAGTTTGATATATATCATATTAAAGAAAGTAGTCTAGATAACGCTTATAAACTTGGCATCTATTGCTTAATAATAATTGCTCATTAATCTATTGCTAAAATAATAATTGCTGCATTGAATTTAAACGTAAGATATATTAAGTAGCGTAAAAAAGATAATGTTACTTAATATAACTCAAATTTTAACATCAATAATCATCATATAACGTTAATCCAGGACAAACTGCCTCGCATGAAGCAGCAACAGCAGCAGCAGCAGCAGCAGCAACAACAGCAGCAGCAGCAACCACAGCAGCAGCCATGGACAGGTGGCAGTATGCAAGCAGTTGGTGGTAATAATGCGATAACGACGACCGCGACGTCGGCGCGTACTCCTCTCCAAAGCCAGTCGAGACAACTACCTCGTCAACCAACCAATACCTACCTCAGTCATATGTTAAGTCAGGTAGGAGAGAAGTTAGAAGGAGAGTGTACGATTGTTGATCTAACTTAAATATCCAATCAAATGAGTAAATTTAAAATTATTTGATGTCCATCTCATTCGTAAATATTATAAGTTTTTGTTAATTTTGAAACGCGTGATCTACTTGCAGCCACAAAGGCCCCAAATGGGATCAATTGAGTCCGAGTTTGCGGGCAGTGGAGAATACCGTCAGTCCAGCACAGATCCAACAAGCTGGGGGGACAATCAGTCGTCGGATCCGGACTTGTCAGAAATTCTAGATCAGGTTATAGACACCTTACCGGAAGATGCTATCACAGGTAATTATAACGATATACCACGAAACCATTGGTCTGTTTATTTTAGCTACACCAGTTCAGCGGTATGGTTAACAGGAACAGACCAAATTATTCGTCATTGTGGAATTATTATGTCGTCATAAAGATTATATTGTACAGAATTATATTACATTGACCGGACATTAGATTACTTCCGTCTAATAGGCTCGTCTGGGATATCAAATCTCTTAGATACAGGAGAAACACCGCCAAACAATGCCATGAACGAAAAAATGGCGATTAACGCCATTCAAAATGCTCTGATGTCCTACGAGACTACCGTCAATCCGACGTCTTCCACCATAACTATGCCTGGCACACCTCCAGCCTATTCTACTGCAGTAAGTTCTTCTATCATACGTGCATGATACCGTTCAGTTTTGATTAGTTTTTATACGATTCGTCATTTTTAAGTGTATCAAAATTTATATTATTCTCCGATGCAGAGGACGACGAAATCGTTAATACCCGAGTGAAACCCCGCAATTTCGTTTCAGTTGGGAACCGCACCCGCGACGACGAGTCACAATTACCAGCCACCGCCAATGTATCAGCAACCGAGGATAAGGTTTAGTAATACTCAGCCAGGTATCAGACAGACCGCCCAATTTACGCAGCAGCAGTTGCAAATGCAACGATCGAAGCTCATGCAGCAACAGCAGCAGCAGCAGCAACAGCAACAGCAGCAGTTGAAGCAGAGGCTGCTGCAACAGCAGCAACAACAGCAGCTGCTAATCCCTTCCAACGCCACTGCTACGGACCAAATTACCACAGGCATTCACAATATTGATAACCTTCTCAACAACACTGTTGCGCCGCCGAATGTGTCGTTGCAGGTATGCTACTTTGTTGCAAGGGCTCAAGGTGCCGAGAAAGAGATTGGAGGTTTGATCGAAAAAGTCCTGAACTTTTTTCGACTTATAATATTTTATTAATGTTCACTTTTATTATATTCTACTGAAACAATAATGAACGATTATGACGAATATTCTTATTGAGATCAAGTTAAATATAGAACGTAACATTTTTTGTAGGTAATATCAAATTTATAATTTATTTTTGACTAAAATGTTACATCCATAAATTGTCATGATAATATGACAGCGATTCTGAAAATTATATGAATGCACGATGTTTCTTTTGTGCACAGCGATCGAGTGTCCCAGATTCACAAGTTTCTCCAGGTTATGGGGGATCCGTCCAGATGCCTTCTGGTCATCGACTCGCTCACTCGTATTCCCATCCATCGGCGTTGCAACAGCAGTGAGTGTCTCTCTCATTTGTGAAGCCTCAAGATTTCACTCCACTTCTGGAGAACTTAACCTTTGTTTGGCACTCATGGGTCAAATTAACTCAAGAAAAATTAAGATCCTACGGTTACTAAATCTGGAATTATTGGAAATATAAATATAGAATTCTTTTAAAACATACAAAATTCTTTACACCTTTCTATGTGGAATTAGTACATTATTTTCTCTCATACTTGACATTAATTATTTTAAAAATGATTGCGCCAAATATTTCAAATTTATTTTTATATACTCAAAATTATAACATCTGTACAAGGTAACTATTTATGAGTCGAGTCCCAATTTCATGTTAAATCTAGTTCATTAATTAAAATATATTAAAAAAGCACATATAATGAAAACACGGAAACAAACTTTTTTTGATTCTTTAATTCGTTTCAATTATTTTAAAGTTATGTTTAGAGACATTGTAGACATTAAGAAAAAAATGTAAAATATAATTTACCTACTCCCCCCTGACATGTTATACTTAATAAAATTACATAAAATCTGTATTTCTTAAAAAATCAAATGTACACATATGTACTTTTTTCTCTTGATCTAGAACTGAATATTGTATGATTTGTCGTAGGGACGCGACATAATTTACTCCATAATTAGAACTTGTTATTAACTAATTATAATTTTTTTATTTAAAATAAATTAACTTGAAATCACATAATTCTGCGAGAAGTACGTGGTGTTTATTGTTGACATTGGTGTCCCTAAATTCCTTTTAATATTCGACCATCGAAATTTTGTAAGTGAATGAAAGTTACTCCAATCTTAAATGACTCATAATTAAGTTACCTTACCAGCATATTTTGTAAATATTTAAATAAAGATATGTAATATTAAAAGAGTTTCACAGACCCACTGTGCCAAACTAAGCAGCAAAAAATAAATGTGCCAACGAAAGGTTGATAATCAACCTTTTACATAACTGCTTACTTTTGCAGTCCTATTGTGAACAATTTCAACAATGGACAACAAGTCTCTGCCGCGGCAAGGCTCTCGCCACATCCTCCGGCTAACATACTGTCATTCTCGCACCCACAACCGTTATCGCCACGGGTAACTCAAGTGAGTGTAAGTCATTACTACATTAGATTAGTCCGTAATAAAATATTTGTATAAAATAGTCAGGCAATATCGATATGCATTAGTTAGAACTAACTGTGAAGCTCAATTCTTTCAACTCTCTGAACTGACTTCCCCTCTATTTTCCTCTCTTTCCATCTTTTTCGAGATATAACTAGAAACAGAACTTGAACTAATATTTCATGTTAAGTGGCTCTATGCAAGTTAAATGTTACATTCTAACACATAATAATGCACCAAAGAATAGCTACAATTATACTTTTTTAACACAATATTTTTAATATCTTTTTAATATTTATTAATATTTTTACTTTTTCTATTTTTTCTTGTACTTATTACAAGTATCTTTGTCTTTTGTAATCTTGTTATAAGTTTAATGCATGTATGTGCTAGGGCACTTACGGCAACTCCCCGAGATTATTAGTGAGGCCGCAACAACAACCTACGGCGCAGCAGCAGCTGCAACAGCAGCAACAACGATCGATGCCCTCGCCAGGGACACCGGCATCCGCGCGGCAATCACCCTTTCCCGCCGAAGCGTTTCCTCCGCCTACGTCCCCGACGACAAGCCAGTTTCCACCAGGTCCCAATACTGGTGCTCCGAACCCTTCGGCCCAATATCGGTTGCAGCGGACCACGTCCACACCTTCTGCGACCACTCAGTTGCCAGGTAAGAAATGCCTTGTTCTTTATAGCGGCGGGATCCTCTAGTATTATACATCTAAACGTGTTATTATTTTTTCGGAAAATATGATGAAAATTAGTTAAAATATAATAAGGGCGAGCAATGAGTGAAAAGGAGAAAAAGAATTGTTCCGCAGTCATTAGAATCCTTATGCATTTTGAGAAACATATGGAGCGTTTAGGATTTTGACTGCTTCTTAGAGAAATAGACTCTTGAAATTGAGTAACTTGAAATGATGGTGAATATGGGATTAAGCTGATGCTAGAGGTGGTGTGCTAAAAGATAATGAATAGTTCCTCTACGAATATATATTATAATATATACTCTTAATTATATATATATATATGTATAAGATTAGAAATATATTTTACGACCAGAGCTCGAAATTAACTGTTTTCACGAACTGGCTGCGCTTCGAGCTTTGGCTGTAATGCTGTGCATACACAGGCATAGTTTCTTCTAAAAGTCATTTTATAGAAAAATATTTCGCGCTACAATTAGTACCGCTTCTGCAATTATTCCTCATCTTATTTGTTGCTCGTAATTGTGACTGTGTTTAAAATAACTTTTCATGCTGACGTAAAATGACTTTTGAAGTATATTCCGTATGATTAATATAATATTATTTAACATAAACGACATGAGACACAACGTGGTTATGTTTACCATTATCTATTAATAAGCAGTAGATTTATTGCGTAATAAATAGATATGCGGTTATTACATCTGGCTGCAACTTGTCCAATCGAATTTCTTTCGTGGGTAGAAGCAAAGATACCGTCGGACCGATGTTTGAGCATTACTTTTTACACGCTGATTTTTAACAATTGATATCTATTAGCCGATATATATAAAGCCTATATATGCGATTGAACGTTATACGCGCGATGGAAGGTGTGATCGAAGTATATAAAACATTTTGTTCTGTGAAGCCGGTAAGTATACGCAGACTCTGAATTTAATTAAACTGTGTTTGATCTATTAAACGGTGGATGTGAGAAAGCCATGCGTAGTTTAGTCGGGTATGCTCATAGATTTTATTAGTATCTTTTTGTGCCTGTATTTCTCGATGTTTTTCTGTAAATAGAGTTACACGATATTTCTGTGTTTTTATATGAGTCTCTATAGAAAGGAAAAACACTTGTCACTCTAAATAATATAGCTGAGTTTGCCTCTGAGTAATTTCTATTCGAAGCAGGTGTTACAATAGAAACGATTGAGACGCTTTCTTATTTGTCGTAACTTTCCTATCTGCTGCATTTTTTCGAAGAACCCTAAATTTTTGTAATTTAATTTCTTCATTCGTGAGAAATTTAGCTCTTCTAACTTCTCAATCAAATTCTTCTTTGATTCGCGGTCCAGAAGTTTAGCTTATACATTTTAACAAGATCAATCGCCGTATCATTTTCACATTGACGTTTACGACGTATATGAGAAAATTAAAATCAGTAAATTAATGAATCAAATGTAATTGTACATAATCATTTATTACAATTACTGTAGTTATATAATACAATTTAATGAAGATACAAGGATTTTTAATTTGTTTTTCAAACGTCAGAGAAGATCAATTGCAAATTTGTCAATGCTTATTATTATCATCAATTCGTAATCGACGGGCGATACTACATTTATTCGCGAGATTCCTCGCGTCTAAGACATTCGACGGAAGGTTCGGAAAGGTCTTCACACGCGAGCCAGAGACACGAGAGTTTTTATTTATTTAGCGTACGACTGTATCTGCTTCTAGCTTTTGGCCGGCGGCCAAATCGAGACACGTTTCTCGGACGTTTCTCCTTGGTAACGATTCGGCCGGTCGTTTAATTTGTTTAATGTATAGATCTCGATCTTTGATATTATGTGCGTGGCAAATTAATATACTAAGCGTTAGCATGCGAATTACCGAGGCGATAATTAGAAGCCTTCGGATATCCAGTAAAGCTGGCCGGCCAAGAAGTACAAGAAGATAGACACAATTAATGTTGCAGGTGGCGTCGGTTCGCCCCGGCACTACGGCGGCGTGAGTAAGGAACAACCTCTTCTTTCACCTAGTCATTCACACACGGCTTGCCCGGCAACACCTACTCAACATCAACACAACGCCACGAACACTCAACACTTCACCAATCAACAACATACCTCCATGCTATACCACACCAATGCCAATAGTATCAACACCGCAGACATGCAGAACAGTCAGTTCTGTTACGATCGAACATCCGTGCAACTTTATTCGTCTGGGGAGGCTCAGGATGCCAGGTCACTGCCTCCCAGTAATCCCGTCAATCACCAAATGGGTGGTAAGTCATATGACCTCTCTATGTCATGTGACCATCAAAACGATTCATTATTTAAAGCCCCACAGCGTGTCAGTGAAAAGCACATACTGTCAAAGGCACGGCGAAAGATTGTCCGCACTCCGGCGCGGCAAAATTACATCTATGCGCGACCAGCAAGCATTGCTGTTTGTGTGCCGATGGCACAGCACAGCGATGCTCGTGTGCCGATGGCACAGTATAGCGATGCTTGTGCACTGAAAGCACAGCAAAGCAACGCTTGTGTGCCAATAGCGCAGAAAAGCAATGCTCGTGTGCCGATAGCGCAGCAAAGCGGTATCCGTGTGCCAATGATAATACAAGGCCACCGATCACACAATTTTAACAGTCCATGTTACGAAGGAGGAGGATACTATTACTCACATCAAATGTGAGGTTGATTCCTCATGCCTCTGATGGTATACGTGCTCTAACGATTCAGCTTGCTCTAAAAAGAGTATAAAACCGTCATGATCACCTTTACCACCACCACCACCCATCACTACCACCACCACCACCACCACTACTACCAATACCAGGAACAGGTGCAAGGCATGATATTACTATACGGAAGCACATCATCCCCTTTTTCGCTGTCTTTACCTCCCATCACGTTGTAAATATACGGCGAATATAATGTGTCAAATCATGCCTGGCATGTATCAACCAGAAATTTTAGTTTGGGAACAAAAACAAACTAAATTTTATCTAAAATTATTATCGGTTGATCGTTGTGATAATTAGTTTTAAGTCTTGTTTTTTATTCATTAGGGCAAGTAATTTTTGCAATTTTTTATCAGACTCTTTTTATTACATTCACTAATTAATTATTATATAATATGTTTAGATTATATATTTTATTATTGGTTTATTTATTATGTATATGTGTATATATACATATAAAATATATATATTTAATTAGTTTAATATATTTAATACATTTCATTTATACATATATATTTATAAATATGTATAAATATATGTGTATATATATATACATATATTTAAATAAAATATTCAAAATTTATAGTGTAAAATAAAAATTAAATTCTCTAATCAAAATTTGAAAATTTTTTTATAATTCTCCATTTTATACGATGACAATACCTATACATCCTATTTAAAACAATTAGATCATATTAAATTAGACCAAAAAGTATTTAATAATTGTGAGATCAACGGTGAACGAAGTCATACATACAAGACATGCGTATTCTTAGTATGCATAGCGGAAGCATGGATGCTTGGTCATGCAAAATCATTCATATATCAATGCACTTTAATGTATTCAGACATATTTTTGATTCGTCAGATTCAGCGCGCCAATTTGTCTTAGGAATATAGGCCACATATTTTTGCATGGTGTGTTGAATAATAATATGTTCGATGTTTCTCTGTGATAACTACAGTTCCTATTGCACTGGATAGTTCACCTCACATTTTCAGGTCCTATTGTATAAGAAATAAAAGAGAATATTATAAAGCTAAGATCTTCATTTGAAACCTTTTTAACGCATCTCGGACCTGGAGGTGAATCATCCGCATCGATAAAACACGAAGATTATAGAATATGATCGATGTATTTTAATGTAAGAAGGATTCGTACTCCCGGAATAGGTTGGTATATTTGCAATGTCCAAGTAGATTTTATTATCTCCGACACCAGTCACCCGCAGGATATCTAATTTGGCATAATCGATCATACGCACCACTCACGGATATACCATGTTATTGGGGAATCAACATTACGATGTTATGGCACCGTGTTAATCTTATGAAAGCTCTAGCTCTAAATCTGTCACACGTTGCATACATTCTACTCTAATATTCTTAATGATTTGGACGGTTTATATTTTTTTGTATATATTATTAATTTGTGTATGTGTAAGTATCTAAAACAGACACACCATTAAAAGAAATACGCATTTGTGTGAATTGTGATATTTGTGCTTAAAGATACATTTATCTAGATTCTCGACAGTAGATAATAATTTTCCATATCCTTACATCAATACGAGCTATTAGAATTAGAACAACCAACAGATTTTATTTCGGAACGTTTGGAAGTAATACAAGGACATATAGATGTAGAATATTTAACTTTCTGCCCGTCATCGATAAATAATCGAGTAATCTTCATGAGATGAAGTCACTTGTTTTATTTGCAAAAGCTGTGATATTATTACGAAATTATTTAGCTGTTGCAATGACTAGAAAATATACTTTTATATCGTAGAAGATATACTTATTTATATCACAATGTATATCTCAATATAACACGTACACACACATATCCATACGCACACATTCACATACAATTGAAAAATAATGGCATAAACTTGCAGTAAAATTGTAATTACGTTAAAACTGTTAAACCGTAGGGATGCGAAAGATAACATTATATATATGTACATACATATTCTGTTTACTTTCTTCGACAGTGCGGTTAATTTTAAGTGGAAAATGTGTAATGTCTACCATACTTCATCACACTCATTTTTTCATCGTCACACGGGCCTATTAGGTATGTTCTTTTTAGCTAAACCGGAATCTTCTTTTTCCGTTAGCTTGTATACTTGTCGCTCTAACGGCAAAAGGTACAGCCTGATTTAGCTAAGAAAAGCAAACCTCTTGTGTTTACCTGTGTAATATAACATTTCGATGTAAAAAAGTAAATTCAAGCACATTGCTTATATCTACGTGCTATGGAGACATTTACTAACAATAAGGCTTTTTTTATGTATAACGCATCGGGCATTTGTAATTAATATATGTATCTGTATACCTCCCTCCCCCCCTCTTCTTATTTTATTTTGCGCATATTTTCCTTGTCACAACATCAGTCTGTCATATCGTATGCACCACCACTAGTTTCGTAAAAGAGATTGAAATTGTGTAATGTACGATTTACAAAGTGCTACACATATCGCACATTTTTCCTACGTTAAAGATCGAAATATCAAAATTATTGCGGAAATTAAAGTTCTGTTAAATCTATGTGTACACAAACATAGAAAAAATACACTGTTTTATACCAAAATATACATTGTACCACAGATGAAACGTTCGACATTTTTTTAAACGGAATTCATGGTAGAATTTCGATTTTAGATCCAATCGGCAGATTATTTAGCATCAGAAATTACGAAAATCGCGGAAACGTGGCGACCAGTTTAATTTACGCGAAAAATATCGATTCGATATGTTTCGGAGAATTTGTAGCATGAGGGAAAATGCACGCGACGCACGTAGCAGCTTGTACATTTTCGTCCTGTTTCACTGAACGACGAATTGAATCACACACATCTCTATTTTTAACAGAGTTGAATATGTCGTGTAAAAAATATTCTTCTTATCCTTGCATTTCGACTTACCGTCGCAGGACATTTGTACAAAGAAAGGAAGTTGTCACGTAAGTTCTGCGACTGATTCGGACACTGTTGACCTTTTTGCGATGGACAGAGTTGGCACAGAGATTGTTCCATATATTCTACCTCTTGATGCAAATTATCCATAATTGGCCGTTCTTTCTTCGCGAAAGGGTTAACACAAACTGGAAATTGAGAACTGCGAGGTACAGGCCAGATGTGGCGCGATGCGTTGTAACGGCATGTTGTTTCATAGAATTTCCTCTTGTTGTCCCAGGTAACGCCAGTACCTCGGAATTTGTGCGGCAAGAATTGCGGGCGATTGTTGGCGCGCGAACGCAGCAACAGCAGCAGCAACAGAGAGTGCCCAACAACCTACAGAATAATCTGTCTGGTCAAGTCTCGCAAGACGATTTTGAAGCGCTTGGGCTGACGCTTCATATGTCTTCTGCAGGTACGTCCGTTGGGCACGAAAGAGAACTCCGTCTACGCTGTATCCTGCAATTCGAGGTCCGAAATATCATAGATAGTAGGCTCACGCGAATATGCTCTCACAGCAAGACCGGGAATTTCGGCGCGATACATCGCAATCAAGAGAGAACGATAGGCAAATGAAAGCCAGACGCTGGTATCAGGGCGGAACAAAATTGAATAAGAATGTTTAGGTATAAAAAGGATGTTTCGATCCCAATTTTTTCGATCCTTGTCAATTGACAACGTTTAAAAACAAATTATGCTGTCAACGTTTATTAGCCACAAATAAATCTATCGTTTTCAACATTGAAAAGAAAACGGAGGAAATAAATAAAAATGAAATGTAATAGTAAAGAAGTAAAAGAAGAAAAAAGAGAGAAAGTCGGCTTACCAGGCAGACGTGATCACTTTGATTTGACACCGACACAAGAAAGCAATGCTCGTGTATAACCACTGTTAGACAGTAAGTACATGTAATGTGTGTTTGAGTTTATATAGGTTATATAGGTAAATATCATGAATTATCTGTGTTATTGTCAAGAAAAAAGAAAAAATCGAAATATAAAGAAGTCTTCCAATAATAGGGAAATCATTTTTGCTTAACTCAATTGTGATTTTCTTATAAATAATTGAGGCTGTTTTGTTGTCGTTTGTTAGACAATATTTCCGATATACATATTGATCGAATTCATGTCCGTCAATTCTGTGTTGTGAGACAATAGAATAATCCTTATTACATAATTTATAACACAATGGATGATAAGAAAAGAAATTGAAGTACCTTCCTGAAAAGGTTGATTTATGGTACCAATCTATTTCTGTGAAGCTGTTACCAGCCCTTAAAGCGTCTAAACGATTGGGACAAAAACGTTCGTTTCTCATATGTAAACACTCATATATTAAGTTTTGTTCCACTTTAAAACGTCAGAATCCAGCTCTTGCTTATCGTTCTTTTTTTATTGTATATTTTATGTGAGAGCCGTTGTGTATATCATAATTGAAATATATCGTAAATTTCCGTTAGCATCCACTCTTTCTCTCAGTGCTGATGCGACGCAAATTACACGCGACGTTCAACAAGTTAGAGCGACGAGTCAGTCGAATCCACCAAAAGATCGATGCAACTGTGCTTCGTCAGTTTAGCATCCGAGAAATCAGGACTTTGTATATGGATGCACTTACAAATATATCGCGATGCTACTCTGAACATAGCTAAATCTAATATTCGGCGAACATATTCGTCGAGGATATTCAAGTGCAAGGCACGTAAGAGTGACAGAAAAAAAAAGGCAAAATGATTTACCAAAGTGAGTTTTCTTGATGGAACGAGTACTGTGAAAAAGTATTACAGGCAAATGTACATATACACAGTTCCCCTTTCGTATACCACGCACATTTTCTCAATTTGTTGTCGCACACGGTTATGATACTTATTATAACTAATTACACTTATATTACAATGCATCTCATTAAGGCCCCCGTCTGTCTTCGTAAGATTTACATAACAAATTTCAGAAATACCCGACGAAAGTTGTTAAGCCTCGATTAACTCTTCCAGGTGACAGCAAATTGCAACAATTGCTCCGAGTAAATTGAAATTAGTTTCTTCTTTATTATCAAGATCAACAAAAAATTGCGCAAAGTCGGCCTTTTTAAACGACAATATCACACATAGGGATGTTGTGAAATTACCGATACCAGTATTATATCAGTAGTATCACAACATCCCTAATCACAGATATTCGCCGACATAATTCTCTCCCGTGAGAGAGTCAACGGCTGCAACTTGCATCGAACGTTCTCTTTTATTCCCACGAATCCTCTCTTCAATTCTCAAGTCCACAACACCCGGCGGGATATTTCGCTCGCGCAATTTTATCGAGCGGCTCTCAAACGACAGCCGAAAGAGATACGGTCGAATACACGAAGCGGAATTTCCGTCGCGCGTTTCGATCAGAGTTGAAATCTTAGCGCGCACCCTCGGCCCCGCGAGTCTTACTTTCGCGAAGGAGAGAGACAGAGAGGCGTAAGAGCTGATTTCTCTCTATCGCGAGAAGAGTCACGTTACGATGTAAAGGCTGAAGCGCGCGTTGATCTCGCGATTACTATGTGCAATGTCACCCGCTTCTTGTAAGGAAAGGCATAATATCTTTTCTACAAAGACTGTGGTAACGCCTACTGTTACGATGTCCCAACTAGGTGAGGCTGTGGTTAGCGATGGCCCCGCCAAGAGCTGGGCCATTGGGAGCGCCGGAAGTGCCCCCTCGTCCTCCAGGGTAAGAACCCCATTCCGACAATATAATTACTTTTTTACGTACTCTTTTGATTTTGTAATGCTATGTCTTCCCTCTATACGCTTGGCTTCAGAACTGATTGTGCACGAAACATGTTTTTAATGATCTCTACTCTCTACTCGCGCACTACTGAGCGTAAAACTTGTAGGGGGAGTGTTGCGTCTTACTTTGTTTTATTTTATTTTATTTTCCATAGGCTCTCTCTTTCTTTTATATATATATAAAAATTGCATGCACGTCGTGACCATCATCTCGCTGCGATATTCGCGCTATGACGTCACACTCTTGAATCCTGTGTAGTGCCCGTAGTTGAAGTTCTTTTTTTTTTCTCATCATTCTTTCGAGTGCTAAAGTAGAACGTATTCTGAACCGGACGGTTAAATAGAAAAGACTAACATTTTATTGGGTGAAGTTGCGAATTTCCAATAATCTGAGCCGAAAAGATCGGCTTTGCAGTCGTGGAATTTTTTCCTACTTCTGTTTCTTTCTATGTATTGGCTTTGTTTCTCTAGTAGATATTTTAGTAAATACTTGAGATTCTTATACGAACATGAAAAGTGCTCCGCTCGAGATTCAAATACGTCATATAACGCGAAAATTGACTTTAATTCATATTTTTTCCTTTGTATTAAGAAATAAAATGAGAAAACATTTATGGGTCGAGAAAGATATAATTCGACAAGAACGTTGGAAGTTTTACACTCAGTGTTTTGCGCTAATGAGAAACGCTGTTTTTTCTCTCTTTTTTTTTTTACGTAGTTGTATTTGAACAAGCTGATTTCGTTACCACGCCAAGTAGACTCTCTCGTTCGAGGTGAACTCCATTGAGGCGCTAAACGTGTTAATTGCCACCTCTGTCTGCATAATTTAGCGCGCGTTCACACGAGTTGCATTAAATTTTTATGCAAGAACTAATTGTACTTTTCTATCAGGCTGCATTAACTGCGAGTAACTTCTTTCGATTATCGTCCCATTTGCACATATCGAACGTATGGCTGATATGACGTTGGCGTAATGTCCCGTTAATTTTTGCGACATATTATCGCGCGAAAATATTCAAATAATACGAAAATATACAGATCCCTGAACGTTAACGCGAGATGTTAACAGTCCAAAGTATTTTTGTTCCACTCGGATATTTATCATTCAGTTTTCGTCACATTTATTTAGAAATGTGCCGTATAGAGACAAACTTTGTGAGGGCATAGGACGGATCGAGAACAAAAAGTCTTATCATTTTGCAAATAATAAATTTTTAAGTTAATTAAAGAAGCTTCTATACGGTTACATTCAATAATTAATAACTCGAAATTTTGTTGTTTGCAAAATGTTAAGACTTTTGTTCACCTCAATCCAACGCCCTCACAAAGTTTGATGGTCTGGGACATCTTATAGATGTCGGAACGTGGTTTGTAACATGTAAAGGACCGAAAATAAGATAGGCATGAAGATATCGTACGCCGTTATTCTTCGATTAATTAATTTCAGTGTAGACTTCTCTTGCTTCACTTTAACGGAATCCTAACTGAAAGTTAATTCAGTCAACTCGAAGACACGAGAGTCGCGAGGAACGACAGTAGCTAATTAATTTCTCGTTGAGAGACGGAAATTGACGGACGACCGACAACTAGCATCCCCCCGTTCAACACGATCCTCCGCATTCGAGGAGTGCCTCGAGTCTCACGATTTTCCCTCGGCGTTATCTTTCTCGCGAATTCCACCGGTGATACGCACTCATTTCCGTTCTGGAACGCCCACGTGACCTCTCTTGCCAAGCAAATTGTCTCTTTTCGTATCTACAGGGTGATGGTGTTCGCAAGCTTCAGCTCATTCGGAGTAATCAGTAATCGTACTACTATCTTTTTTTTTTTTAATGTATTGTATAACGTACGTCTCTATAGTATCGTAATGCTTTTTCACAGTGAGCAAACTAGATATCTCTATATATCGCGCGTAGTTCTTAATTTCTTTTTTTCCTCTCCGTCTCTCCTTGAGAGAGAGCGATTGTTCTTGTTGCATGAGGAAACTCGCTAGCGCTACAGAGAGCAGGTGTAACGTTTAGAAGAATACTCTGATTTCCACTTTAAACGATTCTGTGTGTACATTCTACCTGTCGAGCGTATCGAGCAGAGTCGTTCGCGCGAGGTAGCTCGATCGGAACGCGGCCACGTCGATCGATTTTTCCAATGTAGCTTCCGTCATTTTCTTATAAAAATAATTGTCTCCGTGGTCGCATCTTTTGTGTGCTGATAACCGACGAAATTTAAAATCAGAAGTATCGATAATATACGAACGAATATACTATCTTCGCGGCGTATCGAACCCAAGTTTCTTGTTGCAAGCGTGCTTGGAAAAAAAATGGTGTGAATTCAGAACTGCTACTTTGTGGCGACCAGGAAGCCTTTTTCACCCGTAGCGACGAGGTCGAAAATCTTTAATTGGCAATTAGAGCGACGGAACAGTCCGTACGCGAGGAACTGTTGCGATAGTTCGCCGCCTTTGTTATGCATTGAGACATTGGATGTGTAGTGGCTATACATGGCTTAAGTACGGTTCTGTTGTTTGAGTTTGTACCTCGGATACCGGAGTTCTCGGACGTATCTGTCGCGCCCGGAGGATCCGCGCGTCCGAATACCGAGAGGATACCGAGTATCGGCTAGTCGGACGCGCGTTTCCACGCGGCCTTAAAACTAAACTCTAAAGGATTAGCCTGGAGAAAAGTGTACGCGCGAGACACAGCTGTAAGCTGCACGAGGCCGGTAAAGATACTTCAGATCGATATCCGGAAATAGTAGTAGATCGTTCGTCGTCGGAACGATTTCGAACCGATTGCCGGAGGAAAGTGATCCGTCGTAGAGATCCTTGCTCCTTTCCTTTTACTCTCCCTTCTCTTACAAACGTTGAATTTGCCCTTCGTTTCACCGACCCTTGGGTTTATAGATCGCCCCTTTACGACTTATCGTAACTGTAGTATCGTAAAACTTCGGCTTTGCGTATCTGCGCTTCCTTACGAATTTTTAATTCCATTTATTTGATTTCCCCTTCCTTCCTCCCCCCTCCCATCAATCTCCTTGTTTTCTTCCAGTGATTAAAAGAAACAACATTTTTTTTTTAACTATACTACAGGCTCTCTGTTGATTTTACGAGTTCCTACTGCCACCAGTTTACGGTTTGCGCCATTTCGGGTCTTAGTATCGATTTCCAGTTCTATGGACACTTTCCGTAGTTCCACAAATCGGCTTATCGGACTAGTAAATATTTGAGACATCGGAGAGACGAAGTTACAGGATATTCGAGTGGCAAAGATTCAGACGTCAGTACTGGGCATTTATGATCCCTCGACGAGTTTTCGCGAATGTCCTACTGGTCCCCATGCTTTCTCCGCAATCGGCTTCGAAATCCGCGTTGAAATCGATCGTAGAAACGAACGCGATTTTCATGAAACCTTTGGATTTCAGACTACTATGGAGGAGGTGGCTCGAGGTGATCCGAAGTCGTCGTTGCTGCAGAAACTACTGTCCGAGTGACTGCAGGCCACCGCAATCCCGTTACGCAGTAAAGGATTATATGTAATATATGTTTGAGTGTGCGCGGAGAGCGAAACGGAGATACAAGGACGTAAAAGTACGGAAGAGAGCGAGAGGAAGAGAGCGCGAGAGAGTCTGAGAAAATGAGAGGGAGAGAGAGAAAGAGAGAGAGAGAGAGAGAAAGAGGGGGAGAGAGAGGGAGAGAGAAAGGATTATAAAACGCATATACACTCTTATACGTAATGGATACTATTGTATTATATGTAACGCCACACACGGAGTCAGTATTCATATACGTATCACCAAATACAATGCGAAACTAGCGCGCGGTGCTCTCTAGAATGTGTTACTCGTCTATCAGCCGAGGAGTAGAGACGAGCGAACGTACGAGAAAGGGACTCAGAGAGAAAGAGAGAGAGAGATTGAGAAAAATAGCGATAATATAAGGGAGATGAAGAAAAAGGGAGGAAAACAGCGGTACTTTTTTTTCCCCCTTTCCTTTTTTACTTTTCGAACTCGAAGGACCAAAAGTTTCCGTTTCCGTTTGGCCGTGCTGAGATTTCCTGAGTGAGTACCGGATCGGAGGAGGGTAGTGTCGAGGTTGCGGTAAGGGGAAAACCAAGAGATTCTCTTTCTCGTCGAGCTCGTCCCGGCTTCGGACAACGATACCGAGATATATGATATAACGATCGCAGGCATACCGACGAGATAAGCCCACATCCGCATTTTACCTGCCGATAGGTGTATGTGTGTGTGTGTGTGTATCATGTTTTGTGCGTGTGTGTGCGTGTCGCGTTCTCCGTCAGTATTGTATTTGGTATATCAGCAAGGGCGTGCGAAGGGAGAGGAAACTATGTAGGTACCTCAAAAGGTATACTTTACTATACCACTGGCTGTTGAACATAGAAACTATTTATAGGATTTAATTATTGTACACAGAGGAAAGAAAGAAATAGAGCACTCTATTCACGTATTCTCCTTAATTTAAAAGAAGAAAAACATCCTTTCGACTATTACATTTATGAATAATATATTTGTGATTGTAAGAATCTTCAACCAAAATGTGACAAAGAATACTTGTTGTTGTTAATATGATTATAACTATTATTATATATTATAATAACTATTAATTATTTTATTTTATTTTATTATTCTATTATTAATAATATTATTATTATTATATTATTATTATTAATATCATTATCACTATTACCAATATTCTTGTTGCAATTACTATATTATTATAGTATTAAGAATTATTATTATTATTATTTTATTATATTATTATTTTATTATATATCGATATTGATATTATTGAACACTTGGAATATGCATATTTCTATTCAATAGTAAGAGTACCTTTATATATATATAGATATAAATACAATATATATATTGTATAAATGTATATGTATATATATGTATAGTGGGTTTATGTACGCGTTATATATAAATAATAGAAGCGGACATTATTTATGTATAATCGATATATAAATTGACGTATATTTATATATCTATACATGCGCGATGAAAGAAAGAAAGAAAAGAGGAAATCGATCTTCTATTTTGCATAGCTCGGTAATGATTCTCTTTTGGGTCTTAGATGCACACTAAATTACTTCTAAATGACATCCGTTGTTATATAAATGAGAAAAAGAAATCTTCTAATTACACTTACACGCGTATACGCACACGACGCTGCGCGCGCGCCCGTATGCGCGTACATACATACGTACGCACGTACGTGCATACGCACGTGCGCGCATCCTATGTGTGTATGCGTGTGTGTGTGTACACGCGTGTACACATACATATGAAAGAAATCTCACGCAAGTGTCTTATTTTTCCAGGAAGTTCACCACTTATTAAAAGTTGGAAGAAATCGCTACTAGAGGTTCCAAATGCGTGCGATTACGAACTCGGTGCGGGGTAAGAGGAGGGGGGGGGGGTTGATACGCGCGAAAATAGCGTCGGCGACTTTTCGCACTGGCGGAATCTTGTTTTTTTTTCTTGTTATACGCGAACTTAATGATGACGATGATGACGATGAGCATACGCGGGAAAGCGTGTTTCTCTTCCGTTTCATTTCGGCGTGATCCTTACATGTGATTTTGACGGACGCACGTGGCAATTAGTAGAGTTACTTAGAGTATGTTATTATCTCGTTCGTTATTTTATAGTGTGCGTCCGTCACGTGATCTTCTCTAAAAAAAAATTCCGAAAGTTTTATCGAGAGGGGGAAAAGAAACGCGTTTGATTTTCGAATTGTTTGCGAAAGTTCGCTCGTATCGCCTTAGTAATCGGAGGCTACCGAAGTGTACATAAAAGATGAGAGAATTTTAAATGGGGGGGAGGGGGGAGAAGAGAAATCGAATTTTCATTCGTTGCGCGTGTCTAGCGAAAAGCGTATAAATACGTCCAGCGAAAACGCGCGTGCGTTGTTGTTATTTTCGTTGCTTTTTGATATTTTATACAATATAAAATACATTTTATCCGCGTGGCGCGAAGAAAAGAGTACGACGGTGACGACGATGACGGTATAACGGTGATGATGATGATGATGATGCTGTGATGACATTTAACACTTGGCCTGCTCGTCCCCTGTTGCTTTTTCTTCCAATCGAAAGCAGTTACAAAGTTGTAATCTCCGTAAAAAAACACACATCCGTGAGGTACTCTGAATATGTACACGTACATACATAGGCATGTACTCGCCTGTGAACGCGGAAATACGTATATTACGCGTACGAGAGCGAGAGATAGAGAGAGAACGAGTGTGAGAGAGAATGGGAGGGAATGAGAGTGCGAGAAAAAGGGAGAGAGAGAAAGAGAGAACAATAGAGAGATAGTACTCACGTACATGTTGTGTATGTCGCGCGTGTGCGTGCTTATGTCAGGTGTATGCAAGATAGATGGATGATAAGAGATGATGTTAAGCGTGTGTGTGCATGTATGTGTGTGTGTATGTGTGTGTATGCGTGATGCGTGCGTTGTTCGTAGGCACGCTCGTACGCGGGTGTGCGTAGCAAATTACGTCATATAGATAGATCATATGTGCTTTCTAATGATGAATAATTTTATAAATATAAATATAATACCGATCTCTCACCGTGTATGTTCATTTCGATGAGCTTGTATGTGAACTTCCGTGTGTCCTTAAGAAGGTCCGTTCGTCTTTTATTATTAAACTGACAAATGATCAACGTTCTTGCTCCTTCCAATTGATTCTCGCAAATTGAGATGGATAATGTTGGCAAAAAGAATCGAGTATGAAAAATATCGGTTTCTGATAATTGCAATATAATATTGGAAAAACGTTGGAAAATATAATAGATTAATAGTTAATTATTTTTAAATAACACTATTTATTTGTGTGTACAATACATTATTAGTGATAGTATTTAATATTTGATTTGTAATATTTATATCTTTTCTTTTAGTAAAAATATTTAGTATTTCTCACGCGACACGCGTTGCCGTTTCCTGTGTATGTATTTTATTTGAGTTATTTTTAAACCCGCCCTATACTCGGATTTTTATTTTGCAATAGTGTCACTTATCGCCGTGTTGGAATGCCTTTTCTTTCCAGTTAGTAAGCTGAGATTCAAACTTATCAGATACGCTGTTTAATTGTGCTGTTGGAAAATAAAAGTACTAATTATCTGTTTTTCGTTACTTTAAAATGAAAATCTGATTGTCATTCAGCTATTTAACAACGAAAAAGCCGTTCGACTAGTCGTTGAGTAATAATACTTGCGAATAAAATTTAATCGTTCTATTTGAAAATAATATTTCATCCGCGCCGCGAGTCATATTACGACCTTGATTTATCGAGCAGATTCAGTGGCGGCTCGTACCGGAGACTTTGCGAACTACATTTTTGGAAAACAATCCGCAGAATAGTTTCTTTTATTAGTTTCTAAATCTCCGCTACAAGCCGCTACTGTCCTCGATAAAAAGTCGAACGAGTAGTACAACTCAACGACTGGTCAGTCTAATTTTATATTTTCAAGTTTGTTGATATTTTTTTCCATGACTGTAATTCAACAGCAATTTAGGTGACACATTTTACTCCAACATTTATTAAATATCTCTTAGAGAGCACGGCTCAACGATTAAGTCGGACGAATTTTTATTCTTCAGTGACACTTTGTTGAAACGACTCTTTACACTTTCACCTTTATCTGTATAATTTCTGGAATTCTTGTAATGAGAAATCGTAGACAGACATTTGGGAGTAACTTTTGTAGCGTATACAAAACGATCTTTATTCAATGCGGTACATAGATAGTTACGATATAGCGATACAACATATATCACGTTAATTTAATTATTATAGTGCTCTTTTTTTTCATATATCGCGTCGGCGATCGCTGAGTTATTGGCAGTTTACGACGGGACGCGACAGGTCCTTTTTCTATTTGGCATACGGCAGTTATACGGCTCTCACGGCAGCCGGCGTTGCTTTCTCTCTTTATCGGGCGCGCAGGAAGAGATGAAGTGGCCGAGAGGCGAGAGCGTAGACCTTGTAGACAGGATGGGAATGAATCACATCGACGAATTCTCAAGAGCGCGATAGAGGGGCCCGAGATAAGAATTTTCAGATAAACAAACCGTGGTGTCAGTTTCAATGGCAGTGGCTTCGAGAAAGCAACCCGCTTCTTCCGGCCCGTGTTTTCCTCGTCATCGAGACTACGTCGATCGACCCTGTTCCAAAAAAAAAAAGGGAGAAAAGCGAACGTTTATTGACACACGATTTCTTTCCCAATTAACGCGAGAGGCCGTGCAAACGATATCGTGAGAAATCCCTCTTAGCGGTCTCCCTGTTCCTCGCACCTCCGTGTCGTCTGGATTATCTCAAACGGCTTACTTCGGCCTCCCCTAATCGCCTTTCAAGTGTTTATTTACGCTTTCCTACCCGGCCCCAAATTCCACGGACCAGAGAGGGTACGCCCGGGACCCGTTACATATATAACTTAACTAGTAGAAGAGAAAGAGAGTTTCTGGTTTTCTTATATACATAGGCTTGCTACGCCCTGGCACGTCACTGACGCCGCTCGCGTGTTCGGTATTGTGTGCGCACTTCTTGTATCATCCCCTACGGCTGATTGTCGGACTCCGATGGTCGCTCGCCCTGTCTGCCGCGCACGCGACCCCTCCTGCGTTGGTTGTAAACTCGGTTGCTCGGATATCTGTCTTGGTTGTTGGTGTATCTGTCCTGGTTGGAGTATCTGTCATGGCTGGAATATCTGTCCTGGCTGGAGGAGTATCTGTCCTGGCTGGAGTATCTGTCCTGGTGGCCGGGGTATCTCTCTTGGCCGGGCCGCGTTCTGGGCGGCTGGTAATTGGGCGGGTAGCGTGGCGACGGAGGATAATGCACGTTGCTCGGTGTTCGCTCGCTGTTGGCCGTGAAAGGCTTCAGGTCCGTCCTTCCGTGAGCCTCAGTGACGCGCCGACGGATGCACACGGCGCAACGGCTCACCCGGGACGTGTGGTCGGCCTTCAGAGTCTGCTGCAGCGGCTTGCGGAACATCTCCTCATCGCGGATCGTCGCCAGCCAATAGGACGTTGCGGTGGCGAAATAGTTGCAGCTGCCCAGGCCACGGCATTCGATGAACGGCCGGACGCGGAAATCCTCGAGGCAGGATCCCGGGGAGACCAGTGATTGACCACCACCGTCGGCGGCCGCGTCCCTATGCTGCAATTGGAACGAAGGAAATGCGTCATTCGAGAAATTACTCTCTTTCCTGCGTCGGGAGGAGCGATTTTTCAAACAGGTGCTTCGTTCAGGTGGCTTTTAGAATGGCGTATCGTTTGCTAATAACAAGTTAACACGTTGAGTGTCTTTCGGTGCGGTCTCCATTGGTCGTGCAAACGTCTCGCTGATGATCAAATATATGTAAAGTACAATAAGTATAGTTCAAAAAAAAAAAAATATATATATATATATATTTTAATTTTATAAGCAACTTAACAAGTCGCGGAAATGTGACAGTGGCGGTCACCGGTGGCCCCCACGCATTCAAAGTTAAAGAAGATATGTCTCGCTTGACGTTAATTTAAGTGACCGCATTGTGCTGCTCGCACAGGCTATCTCGACCGACTCTTTAACGGTATTATCAGTTCGATGTTTGACGATCGATCTCACCATGAGGAAACTGTATCCGACCCAGATTTCCTCCCAGCCACCCGGGCATTCGGGTATGGCCATGGATTGACTGTGAACGGCTATCACCCTAGTCGGCGCCTCGCAGACGGAACATCTCGATATGTATCTGCCAACTTCCGGTGCCGGTATCGGTGTCATCATCGTCGGCATCGGCTCGGTCGTGCTCAGCCAGTAGCTGTAGTCGTTACGATTGGCGTAATCGCACACGTTGTTCAAGTTGCAGAATAGGAAGGGCATGGTGGAGAACTTCCTGACGCAGCTACCGGCGGCGCCTGGATTTATAATACGATTTTACGATGGCGATCCTTTCTTCGATAGATCGTTTCTCGCGATTAGAGTATCACTTGTATCTCGCCGAGCTCCAGTAAATTAACGGTTGAACTTCATGCAATACGCACAAGTAATGAAATTAATAGCGTGTTGATAAAAATTAATCGTTGTGCTTCATGAAACTCTATTAAATTATTTATATACTATTAGTTATTCATATGTATGTGCATTAGTCACATGTATATTTCAAGATAATATATTATTTGTTATTATTTTATCTATGTGTGAAGAAAATCTTTTGTCACACTACTCACCGAGATCCTGCGCGTAAGCCCGTCCATTGCCCATAGTGTGCAATAGAGAAAATCCTTCCCACAACTTGACGGAATTTCTCGGACAGGTCGGTATCATTTCGGACTGCGAATGACGAGCAAAGTAAAAACCTCTATCCCTCGGGCCGATTCCGTTCGGCGCAGGTACACCAGGTGCGCCGGGGAGGCCTGAGGAATTGTTTTCCAATTTAATAAAACATATATAAATACATTCTCTCCTGTAACATTAAGTTATATTAATCCAAGAATAAAATTACAGACGTTCGATTATTAAATATGTTTACATCGCGTACGCTCATACCTGGTGCTCCTTGACGTCCAGTTGCTCCACGAGGTCCTGGGTAACCTATGGGCCCATCTTCGCCATCCGGTCCTTGCAGTCCAGGCAGACCAATCATACCTCTCTCACCTTCTCGTCCTGGTAGACCGTCCTTGCCAGGCTCGCCCATCATTCCGTCTTGTCCACGGAAACCTGCGTAGCCATAATGTTACAGGTTTGTGCGATATCCCTCAGATATCGCGATTTGTTATTTTTCTGTAAAGGAAAGTGCCCAGTACCTGGCAATCCTGGTGCTCCTATATCACCACGCTGTCCTCGTCTCGGGAACGGCGGGAAAGGATTTATGCCGAGTTCTCCTTTTGGCCCCTGTAAGAAGCGCAATTGTTTTCTACTTATCCGCAGAATCTCGATCACTCAAGAGTAAAACCATGCGAGAAAAGCTGTATATCGTGTGTATTGGATCCGAGGATATTAAAACTCACTTGAGGCCCGTCAGAGCCAGGCAATCCGAGCGGACCGGATTCACCAGTGTCTCCTCTTTCTCCTTTCAGTCCGGGTAGTCCGTTAAACCCGGATAGACCACTATCACCCTTTATTCCTTTCGGTCCCGTTCGACCGTCCAGTCCGTGGAATCCAGGCTCGCCAGGTTGTCCTTTGGCGCTGCCCGCGGGTATTCCTGGCTCTCCGCGTATACCTTTCGGGCCTAGTATCCCAGGGAAGCCTTGCACTCCTTGCAAGCCCGGTACGCCCGGTATGCCGACGAATCCTCTGAGACCTGATTGGAATATGGTAAGTTAAGAACGATTTCTTTACTAAAAGAAAAAAATTTTTTAATATTTCTCGTTACAAAGGATATGCGAAGGAACGAGACTGACATTAGTTGCAAAATCGAGAAAGTTATAGAATCTTATTAATGTTGGGAAGAGCAGTTAAAACATTGAATTTCCAAGTTTCTTCTATTCTTATATTTGCTTGAATTAGAAAAAGTCGCGACTACAGCGACAAATGCGAATGACAGGAAACCTGGTTCTCCGACGATTCCTCTAGGCCCGCGAATGCTGTCGCCTATATCCCCAGAGATTCCTTTAGGTCCGTTTGGACCGTATTCACCGGGAGCCCCCTTTTGTCCTGGACGTCCTGCAATAGCAGGCATACCATCCAGACCAGCGCGACCAATCTCACCGGGCTCGGCAAATTCAGGAGTGACACCTGTAACGAAAACAATATAATGTATACGAGGATAACCGTGACGATAGGCTTGACGGTGTATGCAGATAATAATACAAAATTCTTAGATTTTTATTCGCGAAAGTTAAATTGGGATATTGATAAAACGTTGATCCTATCGTAAAACTTAAAAAAAATCGAAATTATTGATAACATATGTCTTAACTTCGTTGAATGTGAAAAGGAAGAACGCGAGACTTTCGAAACCGAACAAATTCTGAACACGAATGAAAAATCCTTCTGTTGATTCTTTCACCAACGAACGCATAATTATATTATTATACATGTCGTATCACTAATTCGGACGTATCGAGAGCACACACGTAAGTACTCAACTACCGGCTTGCGACATCGAACTAGCCTGAGTACAAAGGCTTATTTACCTGGAAATCCGGAAGGTCCTTCATCACCTGGCAGACCAGGGAAACCGGGCAATCCTGGGAAACCGACGGGCCCCGGGTGCCCTCGGTCTCCGGTTTGACCCTATGTAATGGATGATTAAGTAAGTTCTTCCGAAGTTGCGGATATCCGATCTAGCCATTGCGTTCACTTACCTTGCGGCCGTATATTCCGATATATCCTGGCTCGCCCACTTGTCCTTTCACACCGGGGAAACCGTCGTAGCCGCGGTTACCGTAATCACCCTTCTCCGCGAGAGCGTAAGACGGCGAACCAGGTTCGCCTGTGTAGCCCTTAGGTCCGGGAGCGCCCATTATGCCCGGCACTCCTCCGAAACCCGGCTCGCCCGGCATTCCTAATGTAATACGTCCTCAGTTAAGTGCATTTTATTTTTTCGTAATTAACGAGACACACATGTCTCTAATCGTAATTTTGCACCAAAACATCGATATAAAATTTCATTTATACCTTATCGTGCAAATTTTAAATGTATGAAGAGTAGTGAAATAACAACGTTATAAAACATGAAAATCCCGCATGGAGATTTGTCGAAAGATGTAAATAGAAGAATCAAAAGGTAAGAGAAAGCGGCCGAATTTGATGATTATAAAAATTCTACGGAGTGTATATATGTAATTAAATTAATGAGGGCACGTGTTGATCATGTACCTGGTCGACCCATCAAGCCAGGATCGCCATCGGGACCGCGTTTTCCTTTCAATCCATCGAATCCAGCGGGACCGATCGGACCTTTTGCACCTTTCAAACCGTGTCTACCGGGTGTACCCGGTAAGCCCCGCCTTCCAGGGAAACCTCGATCTCCTCGCTCGCCTTTAAATCCATCAGGACCCATGTCACCGATTTCTCCCTTAATAGATTGATATACCGTTATATTTTTCGAGATCGTATGTTATTGTTAGTAGTTGGAACATAACAACGGATGCAATCGCGTCACGTATTTGTGCTTTGATTTATATTTTGTAGATTTTTTTACTAATTTAGCACTCTCTACTCTTTTTAAGTCCTACTCTAATCATAATCCTTTCCGTTATACTTGAAGTAAAACGTGATAGAAGTTCAATAGTATAACCTAATGAGAACGTTATAATGAATCCTGGCTGAAGTTCTGATTATCACGCAGCATTACATGACTTTTTAGGAGCCGATAGTATAACTTTAGATGGACCCGACAACCATTAAGATCAATCCGAGCTGGACCATGAGATAAATTTCTAGTCGAGATTCCCTCAAAACTTCCGGATAAGACGCACTTACCTTTGGTCCCTCAGGACCGTCGAATCCGTCGAATCCAGGTTCACCTTTCTGCCCTTGCAAGCCGTTGAACCCGTCGGTGGACAATCCTGGTTCTCCAGGTAATCCCGGCCGGCCGTCGAATCCAGTCAGACCGGGTGGTCCGATTTCTCCCATGAAACCAGGCTCGCCGCTATCACCTTGAGGACCACTGAAGGAGTTCTCGCCAGGAGGGCCAGGGTATCCATCAGGACCAGAATCACCCATGATACCTTTATATCCAGGCGATCCTTCCACTCCCGGCACGCCGGGGATTCCGGCGTCTCCCATTTCTCCCTTAGGTCCGGGCGCTCCGTCTATACCGTCGGCACCGAGCCAACCAGGCGGACCTGGCATGCCGGTCTCGCCGACTTCTCCTTTCTTTCCTGGGGCACCTGCCCGACCTTGTATACCGTGCATACCTTGGTATCCTTGAAGTCCCGTGTCACCATCGTCACCACGTCGTCCGATGAAACCCACTTCACCCTTCAAGCCCTTCATTCCGTCAAACCCGGAAGGACCATCGGGACCTGGTAACAGGTGTTTTCGTATTTGTAACTTCAATGCTGCGTATCCACGTGCAGGAAAAAATTGTGTGTTAAATTTAACACATTTCCCGAACATAAATTCGTGTTAATTTAACACAAGGTGAATATGTTGAAAAGTAACACAAATATTATGTCAAGAATCAACACAAAATTAATACGTTAATCGACATTGAAGTATAAAGTGTGTTATTTTAACACTTACACATGTGTGTCATTTTAATACTTACATATGTTGAATATCGACACAACAAAATATTGAAATAACATAAACACAACATATTATTAAACATATATATATTAACACACGGATATGTTAAAAATTTAACACAAAACATTAACTAATGACCGATTTTAACGTAAGTATAAAATATTTGTTATTGTGTAGAAAATGTTTATGTCGTCGCGTAAATGTTATTAGTTTCTTGGTGCTCACCAGGTACGCCGATATCTCCAATTCTTCCAGACATTCCAGGTTGCCCAGGTATACCCGGTAGACCTCGACTGCCTTGGACACTATCGCCACGCTGACCTTTGGTCCCCTAATACCGATCAAATTGATTGTTTTAATGGATATTCTCAGCAAAAATTCAACGTGAGATTAGTTTCTCGTAAATTTCGATGAAGTTGAAAGAATCTTTCCGGGAACTGTTGGGAAGAATGCACTCACTTGAAGTCCAGGCAGTCCCTCGTAACCAGGCGCTCCTTTTGCACCCCTGACACCTTTCGAACCATCTTCTCCTGGTCGTCCGGTGAACCCTTGAGGACCAGGATTACCGATGTTTCCTTTCTCACCGTACCATCCGCGTTCTCCGATCTCGCCGTAACTCAAGTTCGTACCCGGGTCTCCTCGGTCACCTTTGTTGCCAAAGCGACCCTATTACAGTGGATTACGTGCATAAATTTCGTTTATGTAAGAGTTTCGACAATTCAATTAACATTAAAACTACCATAACTGAGATAAGTTAAATTATCAGCGCAGTAAGATATCTTGATCGTATCAATGTGACTTACCACAAAACCTACTGGTCCCTGAGAACCAGGGGAACCTGATGTACCACGGTATCCTTGATCTCCCGGCATTCCGGGGTAACCTTTCAAGCCTATAGGACCTTGAGGCGAGATACCTGGCGAGCCATACTCACCGGGTAATCCTATTAGACCTTCGTCTCCTATGTGTCCTTGGAAGCCTTTGGAACCAGGCCAACCTACGAGAAGACGTGATTCAGTTTCATTTTAACCTCGTCAACGTGTCAAGGAAGCCAACATGTGAGGTATTTTTAACGGTACTTTTCAACGTACCGGGAGATCCTCTTTCACCCTTGAAGCCCTTCTCGCCCCTAGTTTTTTGAGTGTGTTCTGCGGCTTCTCCAACATCTCCCTTGCTACCCTTGTCTCCCTCGATTCCTTTGACCCCTGTTGCCCCTGGATATCCGGGGTCTCCGCGCAAGAAAACGACCGGCACCGAAGCGTCCTCACCTTTTTCACCAGGTATGCCGTCCCATCCCGGCAAACCGTCCCTTCCCGACAATCCTGGCGCGCCATGTTCACCCTACAGATTGAAATTCCAATTACAGAGATTGGAGATACTTTCGACTCATAAAATGCAAAATATGGCATTTTCTTTTTCACATGTATGAATTATAGATACAAACCTTTTCTCCTTTCGGTCCAGGTACGCCCGTGTCACCGATGAGTCCCGGTTTTCCTCGCGGACCTCTGAGTCCTTCCGGTCCAGGTAAGCCTTTCTCGCCGATGTCTCCCGGCGGACTCACAAACTTCTCGCCTGGAGGAAAGAATATCTTGCCTGGTTCGCCCTTGGGTCCTTGGACTCCCGCAATACCAACTCTTCCGTTGTCACCCTCAAGTCCCAGAGGTCCGATTGGACCTCGTACCCCTTGTATTCCTTTAAGACCTCGAGGACCAGGCAGTCCAGGGTAACCCGACAAACCCGGATACCCGTCCAAACCAGATTCACCGCGATCTCCTTTCTCACCAGGTAGACCTGCACGATGATTAATCGAAGATTAGATTTTTTTATTTCTTCTATCCTTATCTATTTAATTTAACTTAATTTTTAACGCTTTAATTCAACTTTTTAATTTAATTTTTAAATAATTATCAGATTATCGGAAAGATTACTTGATAATTAGAGACTTTACATGTCATTTTTTTCTATCGTCATTGTTACACACAGTATGATGTTACTGATTCGTTGAGACTATCACTGCTTACCAGGTGAACACACGCCACAGTCGTCTCCTCGAAAACCCTTGGCGCCCTTAGAACCGGGCCTACCGGGCCAGCCATCGGGACCGGGGAAACCCGGTGTGCCCGGCAGACCTCGTTCTCCAGGTGGTCCACGGATTCTTATGCCTTTCCCGGGGAAACCCTTGTCTCCTGTTCGACGATCATATTTATTTGTAATAAACACATGTAAAAGTTATCTGAGGATAAGATTTTCAGAACGATATTAATAGACTTGGTAATAATTGATAAATGAAATTGTTGTATAGCATATACAACAATTGCCTTGATAGTTGCAACTTTGGTATCTACAATTTTAATGAATATAAATTTGTGGGAATTTGTTAAATTCTATTTCAATTCCTTATCATGCCGATAAACGTAGATTTCGACCTTACCGGGAGGACCGGGATCACCGCGATCACCAGAAGAGCCTAACGCTCCCGGAATACCCGGGATGCCGTCAGGTCCTGGCGGTCCATTTATCGATACACCAGGGAATCCTTTGGCTCCCACGGTTCCGGGTGAACCGGGTGGTCCGGGAAGCCCTTGAGGTCCGATAGGTCCCGGTAAGCCTGGAACGATTCAGACGTCTCTGCTCGTCAGCAACTTTTATTCACGATGTTTTTCGTTCAAGAAATCATACTCCGGGAAAAAATTATTATAAATAAATTTTGTATCTCTCTACATGCTCATATATAATCATATAAAAGTATATCTTACATCTATACAAAATGCTGTTTTACAAGAATAATTAAAGTAAACGCTTATGTTTATGGCTGACCGGCTGATGTTAATTGAATCAAATTATTTTTTTCCGTTCTTCATTCAACAGTACTTTTATTTCGTGTCGACATATATATAATTATACATAATTATATACGTAGCCATATAGAGACAAAATTTATATACATGTCAATTACGTATATAATTATATATAATTATATATAATTTTATATAATTATATATTTTTTTCCCGGGATTGTATTATCAACAAAGGTTTGTGCAAGAAAGGTTTGTGAATTACGAACGTACCGTCGTCTCCTTGTTCTCCTTTTATGGACGAGCCCTTCACTCCCGCCAAACCGGAGATACCCGGAGGTCCTGGTAGCCCCGTTGGTCCTATGAAGCCTACTTTTCCAGTCTGACCAGGTGTTCCAGGTTCCCCAGCCTCACCGGGAGGACCTATAAAGGTAAAAGAAGCACAAAAATATTTTTGAGTTCCAAAAATAAGCTTTTTCTCACGCAATTTTCCATTGATACATATAAAATCACATAATATTTTAATCCATCTTAAAATAGTTTACTATTAGTTTTTATATATTAATATTATTATTAAAAAAATAATATTAATAGCAACGTTCTCATATTTCCACGGAAAAAGAAATAACGCATTGTATGTTTATACCGACCAAGATCTCCTTGTATTCCGATATTTCCGGCAATTATCTCGTCGAGTTCTGGAATATATAACCCAAGCTCTCCCTCGGCACCCTGTTTGCCAGGTGGACCGCGATTTCCTTCTTCTCCTGGTTCTCCCTTTATAATAACAAAAGGGATTTAATGATATATATATATCAATCTTTTCTTATAAAGTTTCTACATAATATGTGTGATACGCTTACGTCAGTCCCATCCGGTCCAGGTGATCCGGCATATCCTGGGGCTCCTTTCTCTCCTTTCTCACCAGCTGGGCCTGGCGGGCCCTCGACACCTTGCTTGCCTCTTGGTCCATCGTCACCTTGCTCCCCTTTCACACCTTTAACGCCCTGGAAGCCTGATCGACCCTGTAAAATAATTGCATATCGTTTAAAGTTGCGATCGATTGAGAAATTTCTCGTGAAAGCAAATTTTATATTCTATATTTAAAATCTTTTTATTTTTCCGTGAAAGACACCAATATATCATTTTATTTCTCGGCCCTCGATCTTTTAACGAAAAATTAAGAACTTAATGAATAAAAAATTAGCATACGAGTAAGTAATACACGAACTATAATTTTCGAATGAGTTGTTAATAAAACCAAACGGACTACGTTTGTGCTAGCTTCAAGAAAATATATTATTTTTATAAAATAAGGTTACGTCATTTCTAGGAAATCCATGTTGGAAATCCAGCCGTCTCTATTCCATAACTTCTGATTAGTTTCGCAATCACATCTAGCATAAGGTTTGATTTACCCGTGGACCTCTGATACCCATTTCTCCCTTGAGGCCCCAACTTCCTAAGTCGCCTTTCATGCCCTTTGGTCCAGTTGGACCTTTCACAGGCGTCGATTTTTCTATCTTCTTATATTCATCTTCACCCGGTGGTCCAGCATCTCCTCTGTCACCCTGTTCGCCAGGCTGACCCTTCACACCGTAGACGGTATCACCACGGTCGCCTTGCAAACCCGGCAATCCGGGTGCACCTGGGAAACCCTAAGGAAAGATAGATATCGTTTTCATCTCATCGCGAAATTATTATTACTGACAGATATAATCCCACCGAGATGCTTCGTAGGAAAGTTACATCTTAACATAATAGATTTTCAAACTATAGAATATATTGAAGAATGCGCTCTCAAATCGACCGAGTCGTCCCTTTACGGAATTTCGCATTTTGCGCTACGAAGCTAGTTTTTCAATTAGCTGATCCTGTCCAGATCCATTAAGAGGCGCGTACTGTCGAGAGATCACGTGCGATGCCCCCGAGACACCCGGTATGCATTGATGCGGCTCTGCCTATATGTCGCATATTACATTGAAGTTACATCTAGCGCAGCACGGCGTAAGTGCATGTATTATATATATATATATATATATATACATATATAGATGTATATATATGCATTATAACTCCATTATAATGCTAATTTCAGTGCACGTCCCGGTCCGTCCCTGTTTATTTTTACTCGCGAGCGAAATGGAGCCGGAGCACGCACACTTCGCAGAATCATTTTTTATCGGCGCGGAGCATGATGCGTAGTTTTTGTTAACGTGCACGCACACAGTTACATTGTAAAGTTTAGATTTAAAGAATGACAAAAGTGACAATGATTGCTCAGTGAACTCGTTTACTTTCAGAAACAAAGCGCGAGTTTACCGATTTTGGACATTATTTATCGATCCGCTTACTGTACGCTTGGACGGGAGGTGGTGACCCGAGGTTCAACGCCATTAAAAGATTACTCGTACAATTGCGGGACGCGATTAACGCGTGTTGTCAATGAGGGAACCGGTTTTCGGTAGCTGATTGTCTTCCCCAGTGGCGTAGTGGATTTTTGCCCTGACGGCTGGCACAAGATGGAGAATCCATGCTCGTCGGGTTTCTCAGAAGCCACAGGAAGATTCGCCAAGCGGAATCTTCTTCTCCTTCTCCTCTTCTTTTTCTTCTGCTTCTTCTTCTTCTTCTTCTCGAGAGGAGACAGCATTCGCGCTATCAGCGACAGACGTGTCAGCAGATAGTAGCCTGCGACGCTTCGGATTTCAGCGGATCGTTTCGTATTTAGCGATTAAGTACCGGGGTCCTCGCACATTTTAACAGTTTCTTTCTTTTGCACATCGTACTCGCATTCCGGCCGGCACCACCCTCGAGAGCTGATACGGTCGAAGTTACTCCTACGTTTGCAAAAATTCGAAGAAAAGCGACGTAGTTCCTCTGCGTTAACGCTCGGTTTAATGAGCATGGAGGAAAAAAAATTCAAGCTCGAAGGAGAGGAATAATTCATGCGCAGTTCGAATATTACGTTGCCAATCTGTTGAATAATTTTTTCGGGTCCAATGAATTAATACGATCCGATCGATGATTAATTAAAGACATGTTACATTGCTTGGAACTATCTTAGCGCGAGAGTAAAATAGAATAGAATCAACTTTATTACATTCTAGGCTAAATCCTGTAAGAGCAACGATTTAGATTTGTATATGATAAAGATACAGGCAGTCGTCACCGCGCGTCTCAAAATATGTCACGAGTATTTCTGGCCTGTTTGCAATATCTATCTACAAGAGCTGTTTGGAATGCACATACGCACACACAGATAATCGTTCATCTTGAATTTCTGCACTTTGTTACTCGTTGAGTAACACCGTCGACCTTCTCCAAAGGTACGTGAAGCTATGTGTTCTCCAAAAGAGCAACAGAGAGAGAGACAGAGACAACTTTTAGCGCTCGTTCGGTTAATAAGTTGCGTCAAGCAAATTGCAAACGAGTACAGGTCTCCTCTTGCCGCGTACAGTGGCGAAAGTAGCTGATAAGTAGCGAGTATATAATGTAAAGTAGTAAGTACACACACGCCGGGAACGCTAAACCTCCTTGTAAAACGTTCCCCGTGTTTCAGGGAATACGTATAACGCGGCGCACGTAATTCAATCTTACGGGAGTAACTCGGAATACTACGCGGATACAAGTGACGCAGATAACTTTCGAGAGACCATCGTGTCTGCTATGCGCTTTGAGAATCTCGTAGAATTTCCTTAGTCTGCTTTTCCGCGCACCGAAGCATCCGGCGCCTGTTGTATCATCATATTGTGCCCTCCCTCCGGCACCGAGGAGGTTATTCGAGAGAACTTCAACTACTGCCTTTTTATTCTCAATCAATTGACGCAAGCCTGTGATTTCCCGATAGATTCTCTCGCTAATTGTTGCTAGACCTCGAAATTCTGCCCAAAAGAAAGCGGTGAGCATCGGATAGCCTGTTAGCAGTTATTAACAAATGAAGCTCTCTGCAAGCTGTTTTACGTTAACCATTATGTTTTCTATGAACTTACGTAAATTATTTCAAAAAACTTTGATCTCGTAAAAATTTTAATTTTTTAAATTTTAATTCATAAATATTTACGATACACTACAAATCCAAGTATGTTATTCTTATATGCATAAACGTCTAAAAATGACACATTCGATTGAAGCTCGTTTTACATGTTTCTTGCCGTTTTAGGTCACGTCATTTAAAACGTTCACATTCATGATGCAAAGAAGAGGTCACATTTTGTCGGACAGTGTTAATCCGCAAAAAAATAAAAAAAAAAAAAAATCTCACCATCCGCGACTAAGACACGCGATGACGGCCTCTCTTTCGCGTCCTGAACATTCATTTCGACCGGTGAGGCACATTTCCGCGTAAAGCTCGGTCAAGCGTTCGCGCTTATGTTCCAAGGCGACGTTTGACCCGTGTGGCGTGTAAGAGGATTCCTCGGTGTGGTTATCGCGCGATATCGCGGCACGGCGCCCTTTTCGTATTCTTTCTGGCTCTACCCTCCTCTTTAGCCCCGGTACCCCGTTAAATATTGCCGGGGAATACTTCGGCCGGCAGACGATATTTCATGCGAGCAGGTGGCGTCTCGCAAAAAGGAACGAGAGAGCTGGAAAGAGAGAGAAGAGACGGCGGCGGTGGCGTGTCTCGAGAGCGGTCTCTCCTCTCTCGCGCCGTCCCTCTTCGGGGACGACCTAAACGCTCGTACGGGGTTCACCGGCCCTCGAGTCGGCACCGATCGACCGCGTTACGGTACCTTAAACAACCGGCGGAGGGGAGGAGGGGGGAAGGGGAGATATACACATATATACATAGCGGTCTTGTTGTTACTTACGAAGTCGCCGGTGTCACCTGGATAGCCTATTTCGCCGGTGAGCCCGTACGCTCCTGGATAACCCTGGAAATGTGATCAAAAAAGGAGCCGTTAGAGAATCGAGGATACTACAGCGACGATAGCGGATTTAACGAACGGCAGTCGTCTACGTGGTCCCACGGGAAGCGATATATATGTATGAATATACGTGTACTTCGCGCGGGTCATACGAAATCACGGCACATGTGGGTGTGTGTGATAACGTAGCATGGCAGGAGATGAGTTATTTCGCGGCTACCAAGAGTACAATAATTCGACTGTGAATGATACGGATACGTAGTAACGATTGTAACGCTACGTACATTTATAGAAATCCAACGTCCACGGGCACCGGTGAATCTCAATGAACGGTAGCGACATGTGCGCGTCGTTGTTAAATAGTTCGAGATTTAATAATGAGCGGAGATGTGAAGAGGGACACGGTTAAATCCAATCGTCGACTTCGTTTCATCCATCGCGGTTACAACATTGGATTTTCACGACGGACTGAGAGACGCGAAGGTAAATGATACACCGAAAAGCGAGATTGGTTGGTTCTTACCAGACAATTTCGAGCAAATCAAACGCGATTTGGTTGAAGGTAACGAATTTGGTTCATGAGAGCTAGAAATTCTGTCCCCTTCTACCAAAATGCGTTTGGTTGGCCGTTGTCAGATCCGAGCAAACTAACTTTTCAATATGAACAATGCCGGAACATCGACGTGAAAATTCTCAAAGACGCGATCGATCGATAACGTACATCGGACATTAAACGCGAGATGCTCTTACCTCTGGCCCGTCTATACCGGGATTTCCGCGAATTCCTTTGGCACCGACCGAATTGATACCTCCATCACCAGGTTCTCCCGTAGGACCATGATCTCCTATCGGTCCCATTATACCGCGCGGCCCGTAAACTCCGGGCATACCCGGTGCACCCTGGCGACCGTCCGTTCCGTTGCATCCGTCCAGGCCGTCCGGACCCGTCACACCGAATATACCGGAATGACCCTAAACAACATTCGTCATGGTCTCTTTGAATAATCCTTTTGTACACGGCGATCGTAGGCCGTGAGGTAATTTCGCTTCGCGAAATCGGAAACACGAGAGGCTCTCGGATTCTTCCGCAGTAGAAAGCGAAAAGATGGAAAAAGATAAGAACAAAAGTACGCTGCAAAAATTATTCGATTTCTTCTCAGCCCCAGTCTTGTTTGGATACGTAACTAATTGCTAGATTGGAGATTTTCCACATTTCCACATAGAAAAAAGTAAGTATCAATGTAAGATCCATATTTTCATTATACAAGCACGAATATATAGTCTACTCTGTGTAAAGATAAAACTTGCTCTTACATGAAGAAATGTATTATGTAGTTCCGCTAAAAATATATGTTATTCGAGAATAATTTTCGTGAATTGAGAGAAAAAATTTGGTTGGAAGGGACGATATCTTGAATTGTATCAATTTGAAGATATCATTCTTTTTATGCAATAATTTTCCCTCTCAATTCATGAAAATTATTATATAGAAATATATAGAACGTTGGAAACGTATCGAATCTATAGATACGTTTCGAAGAGCCGCAAAGTTAAAAATCCCTTCGATTTGTCTGAAAAGGTACGCCGATGCATATTTAAAGGTAGCGAAATACGAGATCGGCGATTCGATTGTTGACGCAAGTAAAACGTAAGCGTTATTCCTTTCTTCTTGCTTTTTTAGGTTGCGGACTTTAATCCAGTTTTATCGCGGTGATTTCACTACGTTAAAGTCTAATTCGGGAGGCGATAAAGCGGCTTATACGTACGGACTGTCCCGGATTTCCATCAGATCCTCGTATACCATCTTCACCCTAAACAGAAAGAACAGAAATTAAGTACGCCATTTTTCGCAGTCTCCTACTGATTCCAACAGCGGACACATTGCTAGCATATAAGTTTCATTCGCAAGATACAGCGAGGCGATGTGAAAAATTTATGTCTGAAACATAAGAAATATCAAGCGAGCGCTCCTTCTTACAAAAATATCTGTCATTGATTTGAAACTAATTTTTCCCGTGTACATCCAAATATCTTCATCCACCGCTGATTTTGTTCGCGCCTCTACGCGAGAACGACGCGAGAATGGCTGACACTTCACGGACTTTTACTTTTCGCTACCGGTTTCACTGTTGAAAACACCTTCGGTAAACATCCTTGTATCGCGTCGCGCCCAAGTCGCGAGGATCTGCGCGCAGGTTTCGCGTCGCGATTGAAATTTATTCGACGTTGCGTCGCGCGAGATTTACATCATCAATTGCAACTATCTCGATTGATTTTGCGCCCGAGTGTATCGTACGTAATCGTCGAACTTTCGCGGAGGCTGACTTTTCGAGTTGCCGTCGCGATCGATCTATTACCTCCGCGCTCAATCATAATTAACGTCAACGTCGCGCTCAAGTACATCTCCGTAACGTGAGTACGTCGTCGCAATTGCAGACATTACACCGTATCCTTGATTCGGAGGAAGGTCGCTCAAGTTACGCCGCGGCAAGTAACGCGAGCAGGCGGGAGCAGCCGGGTGTCAAGATCGTAAAAAGTGCGTCGCAAAAATGTGCACGCGAAATGCGAGCGTACATATAAAGGCGCCCGCGGCTCGTATAAAATATAAGCGCATCGTCGCCGGCGTCCATTACGCTCAATTCGCGTTGGCCAAGGAGCGGCGGCGGTAATGCAACGGCATCGCCGTCGTTTTCGCCTAATTAACGATGCACCGAGGCGTTTTGCCTGTTGTCGCTCGCAGAGAGTGCCCCTCCCGCCTAACGTTTCCAGACGGAGAATTACTTGATCGCGTAGTTTCGATATTCGTGAAAGTATTGCTGATCGCTCGTTATCAACCCTTCGAATCTGTAATAAATCGAACCGACATGGTAAACAACATTTTATACTTGTATACTTGTAATACGAAAATAATATTCGTTATATTTGACATTATGAATATGTCGATTTAACATACAATTTGCTTCCAAACAGTACCATATATTTTTGTGTGAATTTTAGACGTAATATTTGTGCTATTTTCCAATATATTCATCTTGTGTTAAATTAATACAAAAACTTGAGTGGACCGTCGACTTCGGGGTGAATGCAACAATAAAACTCTCGGACGCGAGAAGTCGCCTGAGAAAGCGAAACTTGTATACTCCCGGCCGTTGAAAAAGTCTTACGGTGTTTATGTTAATTCCGCGGGAAATACGTTTGTAGCGAACGCTAAACAGGCGGATTTTACAGCTCCTCGTCGGGTTTTTCGCGTACGTCCCACGCGGCTTATTTGCGCTGGACATCTTGCGCGGCTGTTGCATGTGCATGCGGCTACAGCGTCATTACTTGTCCCCTTTGAGTTTTGTTGTATTCGTCGAGAGTCAGTTTAAGGTTTTATGCGGGTCTCTACACGAGGGTCTCGTTTTATTTGCCGCTTTCGATGATGGCCTGTAAAGGGAAGTTTACCGAAGCGAAGTACAGTTGGGGAACCTTGGTTTAAAACAGTGAGAATTAGATTTTAATAAATGCCAATTTCATTATAAGATAATATTTTAGATTGTTTCTTTATAAAATTATAAACAATACTGCGATAAAACGAAAACGAATCTCATACTTAGAAAAGAAAATAAACTTAATGCGGTTGCGAAATAAGTGTTTTGAAATAAAAAAATGAAACAAATTCCCGAAAAGTGATCAATTTTCCATTTCTGATCATCGTTAGGTAGCCTAGAAATACGGTAGTGTTTGCAAATACTGGCTGGATGTTTGTAAAAATATGATCATGTGTTGATACATGTTCTACGTCACGTTTCAATAGCTGACATAATTTACTTGTCATTTCTTAGAAGCTTTACTGGCGCCGTTATCTTTTTTTTTGCTCTGCTTTTTAGCAACTTATCGTCGGGCCATATTGCTTATCGCCATTTAAGTGTATGCGATATCCCCGTATCAGTTATCCGATTTAAGCACCAGCAAAATAAGACGCTCATTATAATTACGGACGGAGTTGTTGAGGTTCATTAAGTCGGTCGCGAAAATCGTAAATCATAAGTATCAAATACCGTAAAAATACATGGTACATTCAGAGGGGAAAAATTTGCATAATATTATATATACAGTACATAATTCACAATAAAATAACATTGTATTAATGTCGGGGCTGATAAATATTTATAAAGTCAGGGCATTGTTTTATGAAAATTTAAAGAGAAATTTTTAATTACGGGGTCACACTCAAATAGAAATCAAAAGATTTTGAGAGAATGAAACCTCAAGGAGGGGATTGATGCAAGTAGATTAATAATTACAAAAATTAACATCATGCCGGTTATTAAAAATAAACATATTTGCAGAATAGTTATTGTTTGATAGCAAAAATTTAGGCTGCTGTAGATTTACGTTAAATGGAAATCAAGAAATCCGCTTACAACGCAGCTACTATGTTACGTTATCTCGCAGTATGAAATTTTTTTTAGCCCTGCCGATGTTTATCACATGTACGTCTACGCACATAAATGCGTGTTACATACGCATAACTTGCGTTCGAAACGAGCGTCTTTATCGGTTAACCTCTTGCGCAAGATGTGAGAAACGTGTCTGATCATTAAACGCTATAACAGCGGAGGATTGGATTGGCAATTACAGTCGCACGGCTTTTTGTGCTGCCTAAAGTCACATTACGAGAGTAGCACGCCGTGCGTCGTAAAAATTACGCCGTAATAACACAACGGGGGATATACGTGATGTGATATAACGCGTGATAGAAAAGTAAATGAAATAAAATGTATCAAACGCCGGAATTACCAGCTGTAAATGTCTACGTGCTTTACTTTCCCGTGGAAACGAACGATCGACAGATCACAGCGCGATATTACATCTTCAGCTCGAATACTAGCTGTATATGGAAAAAAGGAATCAGCTGCCCATACAATACAACTGAAATTTAGTTACCAGACCTAGTTTTTAGCTGTGGGAACAGAAAACTAGGTACAGGGACGGAATAAATTAGCTGAATTAATTAAATTTCAGTTATACGGACAGCTAATCTTTACCTGCGCAGTAAAAAATATTTTGTACTCTTATTAAGATCGGTCTTTGTTAAAATTTTGCTGTTAAATTTTTAATATGTCCGTATCTTAATTTAACATGTTTATGTTATCCCAACATTTTGCGTTGTGTCGATTAACGTATTAATTTGATGTTAATTTTCGACGTGATATTTGTGTTGCTTTTCAATACATTCACCTTGTGTTAAATTAACACAGAAATTTGAGTGAGCCGCTCGGGACATGTGAAATGTGTTGAATTTAACACAAAATTGTTTACCGTGCGTGAGAGGTAATTTTCAGCCGCAGGAGCTACCTCTTTTTTTCCCGTGTATAATTAATAAGCGGCGAAGGGTCGAAGAGATCGGTTTGTTGCTCACTGGCGAAAATTCCACAGGACGTCGCGCTTCGATCACGATTATGTATTCATAAGTAAACGTGTCACGGGGGAACGCGGAGGGTGCGCGAGGAACAACGGCCGAGGTCCGGGCGCTTCCATCCAGCGCGGTGGACGAGAGTGAGATGCCGTCGCTTCCCATTTATGGCCATGCCCGACACAAAATTGACACACGATGCCTTTTAAAGGCCGGCATTGATTGGATACTTGGGTCTGGGCGCGAACGAAAGGGGCAGCCGACGGCGCGGCGCGGTCAAATCGTACATTGTATCTGGAAATGGGACGCAACCGATGCGCGGGATATGCTGATATGTTCCTTTTCTCTCTCTCGGGAGGAAGAAGTCGTCATCGTCGTCGTCGTGGCATACTTTCGCGAGACCGCGGCCAACGGGCCGTCGTCCGTGCGAAGGCAATCATCAAAATTCATGCGACGCGAAATAAGTTCGGCTGAAGTTGGATTGCGGTTTTAATAAGTGCCAATGCGAGTTTTTTGATCTCACTGTTGTGGGACACTGCGACGGCGGAAGTTTTCACAGAGCGAAATTACCGCGCGGTAACGCGAAACATTAGACGGGACGATCTCGCACGACGAGAACGATATCATCGAATCACGTCGTTTAATTGGAATTAGGTACGTTACGTTTCCGACGTAATGCGATTTTATCGGGTACGCTTACGCCGGGGGAGTGTTTACGCGAATTAAATTATCCCGGATTGACTCGATTAAACTATCCCGGGGATCGCCCGTGATCATTTCGAATGCTTAAACTCGCGAGCACCGAGTTGTGATAAAGTTGTGCCGCGAGGAGCAGGGGGAGGAGAAGGAGGAGAATGAGAATGAAGAGGAACGGATACCGGAGTCACGGGAGACGTTGCATGCGATAGAATATTCGCCGCAGAAATTTCGAGGAGGAAGGATAGGCAGAACGGATATCTGGGTATGAGATCACATGGACATCCGGTTCGGAGAGCGAGCTGGGCGCACGGAGCGAGGCGTCAATGGGAAGTGCGTTATCAGCGCGCGCGTGGTGCCTCCATCCTCCCTTTTTCCAGTTCTCAACTTCCAGCTTTTGTCTCGCTCCGCGATCCCCGACCGTTTCGTCGGGGCGACCTGATTTTTTAACGAATGTGAAAGTGCCGGAAAGTGGGTCGCGGAGATTAACTTAGAGTTTGCTCCAAAGGGGAAAAGGGAGCGGGGGGACGGACATTTATATCGTAATTTTATTTATTAAAGAGAAACCGAGTGAAATAATGCGATTCTTATTTCGCTTGAAACTGAGTAGTAATTTTGAGAAAATATTCAGGAAATAATAGACGTTTAAACGGCGAATTGAACCAATTTTTAAAAATGTGAAAAAGTAAAAGAATTCAACATAATCAATATAATCAA